CCATTTAAAAAAATACTAAAATGTAACAACACACGCACATTTTCCAAGTGCCATTGAAAAATATTACATAGGGTCTTTACTATCTTGTTTTGGTTTTGCTTTAGTACCTGTGGTAATACATTACCTCTGTTCCTAGCTCTTTTTAGTTTGTCAGAGTTGTCACCACATTTGTTCATTGTTTATGTTAAATTTGTGGTGCTAAAAGTGTATACACGCACACACCCCTTTTTACGAAAAGGGAACTGTATTTTAACACCAATTAGGTAATGTTTCTGGAATTATCAATTTGTGATGTCCTTCAAATACTTGGTTTATTTTATGCTAGCATGGTATAATCATTTTCTCATTCTTATACTGCTATGGCAAACTTATCTGGAAACATACCCATCAACTATTTCTTCGCTTGGTATTTATCATAGTCTCTGTCACTATTAAAGTGTTCAGTCAGTCTTTACTATTTTTTAAATACAGTCTGTTTGCAGAATTTTATTTTACTATAATTTAATTATGTGTGTGCCTAGATGCCTATATACCTTCCTTAAATATAAAGTCTTGGCTGTATGTCAGTCCACTAGTCAGATTAATAATTAAGATTTGCAAAAGAAGAATTGCTTTAAATGAAAAGCCCATGTCTCATAGTTATTCCCTTGTCAAGTCAGGACAACTACGCAGTTACAAAATCTTTTTCTTCATTGTTGAGGTTTTTGAATTTTACTTACTTGGTTACTTGGTTGTTTCTGGAGTGTCTTACTATGCATTTATGCAGTGATTGTATCCATGAAAAATTTACAAGTGTTTCCAGGACTTATGCTGGAAGTTACCATTCCGTATTTTCTTTCTGATGCTTGTCACAGCACGTCCCTCTGTCTTCTTTCCCTCATGCCTGGTTTCTGCATCCTGTTCAGATTCAGGATTGGTGTTGAGACACCTGCAGTGTCTGGGTGCGCGTCAGTGTAGAGAGCTTTGAAGTCACACAGAGATCGAGCGTGTTTGGGCTCCTCTGAGTGCAGGTAAAATCAAGGAAGAAACTTATTAGATGGCATTTTCAGGTTCTAAGTTTATCTTAATTTCAGTTTGAGTATCCAGCAAGTTCTTTAGATCTGTCTTTAGACAGATGTATTTTACTTTAGTAAAATATGGAGCTATTGTAGAATGATGACACTTCCAATGTAAAATGTGGTGTTAAATTTTTTGATACAGGCTTGTAATGGTGATCCTGCAAAGTAATGGATATCAGTCTTACTCTTTCACTTCAAAAATGTGTTTTGAAGTTAAGCACAAATTAGTTGGCTGTAGAGCCAATTCACGTAAGCACAAAGAGAGTATGTGTACAGAGAAATAAAGTGGGGGTTTTTTATGTGGTCCTTTTTTCAAGGAACCATAGGATCCCACAATAATTGATATATTGAACTAATTTTACTGCAGCTACTAAAGCCTTAAAATGTTTTTCATTATATATGGAAAGGATAATTCCCCTGTTGCACAAGGAACTGATTAATTCATAGCGAATTCTGCATACAGAGTATGAGTTCTGATGCTTTAAGAAGTGGTTAAAGTAGTGGCAGATTGTTTCTGCCCTAATTTTGTGTGTTTATGCTGTTCAACCTGGTTTGTCTGGGAGTGTTTACAAGCAATTGTCAAGTATTTCAAAAGATTGAAAGCAGATTCTAATCTGTTGCTTTCTAGTTTTCATTTATCAGAATGGAATTGAACTGAAGCATTTCCTCCACTGAAATAAGAGTATGTTTTTAGACACTGAGCAGAATACAATGGTAAAAAAAGTCACAGAAGGCAAATCAAAAGGTAACTTTAGACTAACTTCTCCCTTTAGGTCATTTCAACTCTATTTAGGTCTTGATACCTGGTTTTGGTGGAGATTTTTTGGTTGATTTTTTTTGTTGTTGTTGGTTTACTTTTTAAACGTAAAAGCTTGACCGGTGAAGGTTCCATAACTATTTAGGTCTCAATTACAATGCTAGAATACCCCAAAAGTTAAAAACCTTTTCCAGTGTGTAACCACTTTCCTTATTGCAATTCAGGTCCATCATTTCCATCTCCAGCAGACGCATAGAGCTTTTTTGCATGCTGCAGCCTTTTGTGGGCTTGAAGTTGTAAAAGATACTGAAGTTTTTTCTCTATTGCAACAACTCTTCAAAGTCTGTCTTGAACAAATGTGACTTCTGACAGTTCTTGTCTGCATGTTTTATGCACGGATAGACGTTATTCTGTCATTCAAACCATTAATAAATGTTTTAACGACATTAGATTGAGGGAGACCCTGAAAATACCTATTCAATATGGGGTTTGAATTTATTAACTGTTACTTGCTTATCTTTTAAAATGTGATTTTCCAGTGACTTGAACGTGCCCCCTTTCCCCCTGTCATTTCATCAAAATATTTCCTGCTGAGAGATGCTTTCTATAAGGCAGGCTCAAAAGTTGAGATATATGCTGTTTCCATTACAAGAACGGCTGGAAAATATGTTGAACATTAAATTGGCTTGATAGGTGTTGATCTTGGCTAATCTGGGCATTCTGTTGCTTATTGTTTTATTGTCTGTTGCTTATTACTTTACTGTCTTTTAAATATTTACCAATAAGTTGAGTCTTTTTTGTAGAGTTGAAGTTAGACTGACTTGTGTATGCTTATTTCCCATTTCTCTAAAGACACCTGCCTGAGGTTTTGCCTGTTCTTAATCACTTCTCAGAATCACTGACGGTTCTGATTTTGCTGCAGCCAGTTCATTACTGGATACCCTGCAATGATGGCTTTTAATTAGCTCGGTCTGATTAATATTTATCTAGATCTCGTTCTCTGTCATTAATTCTTACCCTGTTCTTACTCATAATGCATTCCTTGTTAGAAAAGACAAAATGCAAATAGGCTTCTCTGTGTGTCATCTCTTAGTGTCTCTACTGAGTACTTGCTGATTTCTGTCTCTAGCATTCCTCTCGGTAAGGAATTGGTTGTGGGATGCTTGCTTTTCTCTTATGTGTCTCATGCTAGTGATATTCACTTTGTGCCTTGTTCTTTCTTTTGAAAGTTTCCAAACACAATGAATGCTGCTTCTTACAAATACAGGCAGTAAATTGTGTAATTTGAAAATATTAGGATTCTCCCAAATCTTCTGATGTTTCTGAGTAGAATCAACATTAGCAGGGTTTAACTTTATGTATTTTTCTTTCTAAATGACAATGAACCAAGATCATCCTAGAAATTAGATTGCACTTTGACTTTGGTATAGTAGGTAGTCTTTAAATGTTTAAGTTGTATATTCAACAGACAGTATTTTTCCACTGCCAGTAAAGCTCTTGGAATAGTACTGAATCAGCCATAATGGATATATGTTGTGTGACATTATCACTCCTTACCCTTTACTGTTTTATCTCCTTTTCATTAATTTAATGCCTTATATAAACCTGTAATCACCCTTTACTTGGATATTGGCAAACAATGTTCTCATGTAAGGGCAAAGAACAAATCAGTGTTTGGCTCAAAGAACTGACAAGTAATACAATGCTGTAAGTGGAGATAACTAGAAAAACTTCTTTACCTAGAATATCATGTGTTCACAGATTAATAATTAAGGAGAAAAAAAAAAACAACATGCACCACAAAGAACATGTGCAAAAAGAACTACAGTTTTCTTCTGATAGTATCTTAGAGTTGATGTAGTAAAAGGGCGACTGTGTTGTATGGAATGGCAGTGCTCCTTCTGAAAATAAAAACAAGTTACAAAAGTTCAGGAAAAAAAATAAGATTGGAGGATTCCACATAAAAGAAGGAATGTAAAGCATTTCTCTTTAAAAAGTTAATACTGCATATATCAATCAAAGGTAACGTTTCAGTAAGGTCCTGAGAATTTCCAAGTGAACTCCAGGGCTCCAGTGAAGAGGTCTGTGCAGTTGGGAAGACAATTATGTAGCTAGAATCAGTTCTGTTAATGAAGAAATGAGTTATGTTTCTCAAAAAGAAAAACACTTCAGTGATGACTTTCCAAGCTGTTAGGTATATAAAACTGTGTTTTCAGCTAAAAATATTCTGGAAACTTCTATAAAGAGGATAACCTTGTTTCTTCTTCAGTGATGATACAGTCCAAGAGAGGGAGATGGGTACCTTCTCAAAACACCGTGCAGAAGATGACCCTAATTGTGTTTAATACATAAAGCTGCTGGAAGTGTTGCCATTTGCTTACACATATAATCTCATTTATATTGTACATTTTAAAAGTTTTTCATTTGTGTTTATATGAGTGGATAGGTTGTAGGTATCCACTCCTTAGTATTTCTGATCCCAAGAGCGTAGCTTCTCTGTAAACAACTGGATAATTATTAATGCTTTTTATTTAGGTATCAGGGAATACAGTAGGGTATAGAGTCACCCTACTAATATTTACTGAATCTGCCTAAAGAAATCATAATCTAAGAGGATTTGATACGTGGAAGATAAGGAGGAGAAATGCTGTCATTTACTTCAAAGGAAAAGGAGACCCTGATGAGTTTGGTTGCCAAAGACATGTTCTCATTGAGCTTTAATTATGGAAGAAAAGCCTAGGCTTTTTCGGAGCAGCAATTCAAAGGCTGCAACAAACAGTAATTCTTCTTTTTCATAATCACATGATTACCCAAGTCAGTGTCCACAACTGGTATTTATTATCTGTCAAAAAATCTAAATATATAACACATATTTAAAACTCAGATTTATCTGTTTCACAGGATCAACAGAGAATACTTGAGTTTTCATGAGTTCTTGGAGTTGGAGGGTGGGTTGTGGGATTTGTTTGGTTTTTTGAAATCAATCCCAGGGGTACAGCTCTAGTGATGGTCTCCAGCTGGACTTAACACTACTGATCAGAACCATTTGAGCCCAACAATCCAGCCAATTTTCAGTCCACCTACTTATGTAGTCCATATTTAATCATTTTCTCTATAAGGACATTATAGTAAACAGTAATAAACAACATCCACTGCTTTCCCTTCATCTGCTAACCCAGTTATCTCATCATAGAAAGCTGTCTCTGTGGTCAGGTAGAAGCTTTTTCCCTATCATAAATCCATGCTGATGACTTCCAGTTTTCATCTTGTATTTAACATATTTGGCAATGATTTCTAGGATTATTTATTTGCTCCATCACCTTCTTGGGGATCAGGATGAGGCTAACCAGCCTGTAGTTCCCCAGATTCCCCTCCTTGAAGGGGGAATTTTCCTTGCTCACTTCCAGTCCTCAGGAACCTCCCTTGATCATCACCATGATCTTTTAAAGATAATTGAGAGTGACCTTGAGGTGACATTGACCAGCTTCTTTGGCACTCATGGAAGCATCCCATTAGGACCCATGCATTTGCGTATGCCCAGTTTGTTTAAATATGGCTTTCCTTGGTCTTCCTCTACTGAGGGTGACTTCTTGCTGCTCCAGGCTCTGCCTCTGGTCTGTGGAGCCTGGCGTTCCTGATGGTGGTAGAAACTGAGATGGAGAAAGCACTGATTACCTGTGTCTTTTCTGTGTCTCACCTGGTCCTCTGCCCCATTCAGCAGCCAGTAACCGTTTTCCTTGGTCTTACATTTGCTGCTAATACACCTGTGATATCCCAGCTTGTTGGCTGTCACATCCATTGCCAGATTCAAGTCTGGGTGGACTCTGGCTTTCCTGAGCCCATCCCTGCATGATCAGACAGTGTCATGCTATTTGTCCCTGTTTACATCTCTTGTAAGTTTTCTTTTTATGCGTGAGTTGAGTTAGTTCATCTATGCAGCCTCCTGTGTGTCTTGCTTGACTTCCTGAGCACAAGGATGGACTGCTCTTGAGCTTGGAGGAGGTGAGCTGCTGGTTCCAGAGGGGTGGCACAAGTAGAGCTGAGAGTAGCTTGTGTGTGAAGTTACTTGGTGATGCAGTCAGTCATACATGGGATGGAGTAAAATACATCTTACTCTCTTGGTTGTACTCGAGCTATAGCACAAAACCAACGCTGGTGAAATTAATATTTTGTCACTACAAAAAACAAGTAGCTTTAAGCTGGAAAAGGGGACAAGTCTGTAAATTATTTACTGTTGCAATCACACCTGTATCAGGCTTTTGAGCCCATCACCATTCAAAATTAGATCTAGGCAGCTCTGACTAACAGCTTATAAAATGCAAGGTAATTCTTTATGTGTTTTTAATAGGAAAAAAAAAGTGTGTATATGCTTTATTTCAGGTGGTTTATAGTATATAATGAAAGGTAGATCTATCGCAGTTAAGACATTTAAGTGATAGTCTATAAGGTCTGAATTACAAAAAATGTTTAATTCCTTCACATTTTCTCTTGCAAATTCTTCCTGTTGGAACATGGGACTCCATATGGTATGTATGGTTTTATTTTACATAATTTTAAGTTTCTTTCAGAAAATACTTAATTTAAACATGTTACCCTGTTTTCTCTGTTTCAGAATTGCCACCTGTTCCTTCTACATCGAGGACAGGCTTTGCAGAATCTTCTGTTAGGGAGCGAATGAGAGAGAAACTCAAAGCAGCAAGGGTGAGAATCCTTCAGAAGTCCTGTTTGGTTGACTTTATCTTATAAGTGCTACCCACTTCATTTTGCTTGCTTAGTGCTGAATTGGGATATCTGCTTTTTTATTTCTAATGCCAAAATAATACTCAGTTCATCAGTACACTTATTTTCCAGTGCTTTTCTATTGCTGTATTTATTCTCAAGTTTTTATTTGTTTGTAATAATATAAAAGTTGTTGTTCTATAATTCAAAATTATACAGTCATTACACGATCCTTCTATGTTTTTGTCAAAAAATCTTACACTATTTTGAAATCAATAGATTTCCTTGTAAGCTTACTGTGCAGTTTAATAAGGGATATTAACATCTAGGTCTGTAAAATCACTTAAGCTGATTATATAGTTGAAAGATTCTGTCCCTAACACAAACACTCATAAATTGTTGAGTTCCTGGGAATTATTGTAGCTTTGGTCTTATTATATTTCTATTATAGCTAAGCATTTCTTTGTTTGCTTAGTCAAAAGCAGAAATTACTTTACTGCAAGAAGACCCCAGTCCACGACCAAGGCGTTTAAAAAGCATCAGAGAACGGAAAACAGAAGTCAAATTGGATAAAGCGGTAAGAAGGTTCAATCTGTCTTGCTATTCTGATAAGAAAGTGAATGTGAAACATTAAACACATCAAAGACTACACATAGTCTTGAAGATCAGTTTCATTTATTTTAATGGGTTAAAAACGATATAATTGTTTGAATTAGTAACCAGGAAGGAATGTTTCTGATTATTGCTTTTAATGTACATATTTAATAATAATAATTTGCTTTCATTGTAGCATAGAAGTCATGTGAAACTTCTGTCATTTACAGGTTTATGACTTCTGTTGCTTAAGATGCCTTGAAGGGTTTAAAAGTTACTGTAACAGAAAGGACCACTGTATTATAGCTTTATATAAATTTGCACACTGTAATTGCTAAAGGCTGGATATTAACTTTATGTATTTGTAGTTTACTTCATTTCCTCCTTAGTATTTTATATTCAGTCTTCTTTAGTATAAGTATGTTCTTTGTTAAAAAATGAATTTTGTACTAAAAAAAATAAAAAAGGCTATAGGCTATACCTGTGCAGAACTTGTGCCCAGATATTCTGCAGAACTCACAAAGAGATTGCTTGCCTGTAGAAAATACCTTCCAAAGATTATGTATGCCCAGGAAGTAACAGCATGTAGCAGTAATGTTTTTATCTGGAATTCCAAACAGTATGAATTAGCCTAACTGAATTGCTTGTCTAGGGGAGAATTACCTATTCATGTAGGTTGTGGGGAGGTTTTTGGCGGTGTTTTTCTTACGACTTGTCATAGCTTTCAGTTAAGTAGTAGTGTTTTAATATGTTTGTATTAGGAAAATGTGGAAGTGATACCCTTGTTGAAGTTAGTTACTAGTTCTATATAAAGTATATCTGAAACCTTCCATGTGTTGGTTTTCTTTCCTGTATTTACTCATACATATATGAAATACTGTTCTGTTGTTAAGTGGCCATCAGATTGCCAGGGTTTGAGATTTTCTTTTTGCTATTATTAGGTTGAAGTTTAGATTGAACAGCTGTAAACTTGAGAAATGTCTTCCTTTAATTCAAAAATTCAGGCCACAAGGAGGAAAAACAGATAGAATGTTAGATGTGTTTATGTTGGCTGAACCTGATGAAAATCACTTTGAAGCACTTAAGTGAACTTGGTGAAGCAACCTCAGAACCAGTGATGTTTATAGTGATCTGTGTGTAAAGACAGATAAGGCTTCAGAAGACTGGGAATGGATAACCATGCTACCTCATTTCTTGAAAAGTTGGAGGAGTATCACCCCTGGAGTCTGAGAGTAGGCTATGCAAATTGTTTGAGAGAGAACAAAGCAAATAATTAAGTCTGTATTTAATCACCCAAGCAGTGACACCACCTTTTTTGGATAATACCAAATAGGTTTTTTTCTGATTGCAGCAGGAGCTATATGAGAAGCTGGCCTTAGCTCCTTGATTCCCTTCCCTGGTCAGCAGTGTCTGTCAGCAGCACCCTTGCTGCTGCTGGCTGGCTTGTGCTGTCTGTGCAGATAGGAAGATTTCACATTGCTACCCCATTTCTCCCCCTTGCGGAGATTAGCATGTGGTTGCTTATGTTTGGGAGTGCGGAAATGATGATCTCATCAGCAGGGAAGAAAGTAAAATAATATTTATGCAATGAACCATTTCTTGATGCTCTGCAGTCTATTTCTTGACCCAAAGGAGAAAGGAGTTAAGTAATAATTAGATGTACCCTTTTAAAATAAATATAACATCAGTATAAATGTTACCACAGTGACTGTGTTTCTTTTTTGATATTTTTTTCTGTGAAAATGCAGTATCTAATCTTTGTATTCACCTATTTGTCTTTTTTTTTTAATTGCTTGGTAAATATGCTACAACTTACGTATATATTTTTGTGCAGTCTGATAATGATAAATTTGGGGAGATGCAAGAGGATGAATCCCACTTACCACCAAAAATAAAGTTTCGTGATTCTGTAAAAAAGCTTAGGCAAAAGTCAACAGTAAGTACTAATTCCTTCAATTCAATAACTGATATTAATTTCATTTAAACTTTATATGGCTTCATGATTCTGTTTGAAGAAGCAGACAGAATTCAGTCTTAAGCAGTGGAGGGGCTTTTATTTAATTTAAAAATTCACTAACAATATATGCTAGCATTTGAAGTATAGAAGGGGAACCTTCATCAAATATAAGAATGCCTTTGGGTCATTTGATTTAAAAAAAGAAAAAAATCAAGTAAATCATCTGGATACAGGTACTAGAGCTTGGAGAAAAAATGTTTTTTCTGTCTAAATTCTTTTTCTTGAATGCCAACAATTGACAGTTAAAGCAGTTTACAGATTAGGATATGATGTTTATTAGCCATAAAATGCTACTCTTATTTCTTTTATTAGAGGGTTCATTGTAACACTAAAGAGGCCTGGGACCTTCAGAGGCAAAATACCATTAGAAATTTCTCTTCTATCATTCACCTGGATATCTGCATAGTCAGAATTTAAATTTTGGGATTTCTCATTTGTAAATTGTTTATATTTAAAACAATAAGCTGGTTAAAATTAAACAGGTAACTTTTTAAAATAACACATTACAAGAAATATTTAATGAAATAATGGTATAGCAATAGAAAAAGTTTCATGTATCGTTTAAAAATTTGTCAGCTTCAGCAGTTGGGTGAGTTCTGTTTGAGATAAAATAATCATCCTGTGACAAGTGTTTATATGTGTTATTGCTATTACTAATGGAAAAATATCTTCACTTGCCCTAAATTTCTTATAAATGTCATATTAAAGTATCTTTGTCTTCTTTTCTTAGTTCCAGAATGATTTTCCTTCCACTGAAGAAGCATATAATTTCTTTACCTTCAATTTTGATCCTGAACCCAAAAGTATAAAGGCTGGATCCAGGAAGAGGAATGAATTAAATGAAGAAGAGGAGACAGAAGAAGACTGTGTAGAAACCCATGAGGAGGATGAAATGGTATGAGCTGTAGAACAAATGTTCCTATTTTTATTCAGACTTCTTGAATTAATACTAATCATCTAATACGAAGTGGCAACTTTTGTTTCCTTAAAAATTTTGAAACTATACTTTCTAAATATCTCCATTTTAAGAACTAGACTAACAGGTGTTTACTCTTAAACTATAGGATGAAGATGTATGCCTAGTTAAAGGTGATGATTTATTCGTTATAGGACAGGCAGCTGAAGATTTTCTAGTAGTGAAACCTGCTGATTGTGAAAGCTACTCTGAGCAGCTGAAAAAGGAAAAAGAATTTCTCTTCACTCCCAGCATGCTAGCAGGTATGAAGATTGTGCTTATCTGTTTTGTCCTGGATTTTGCATAGCATGTCACCCTTTGATCTGCTGAAAAATCTTGTATCAGACGGTCTGTGGCAGTAGAGAGAGATTTAATTGTGGTTCTCTGACACTGATCATCCAGTCAAGTTTGACAAGGTCTGACAAAATGCATTAACTAGGAACACACCCACCTTGGCATGTCACCAGCTGGTACACTAGCAAGTGACCTAGGGCACATCAGTTGCTCTGGAGCAATTAATTTAGTGCTGTCTATAGTAAATGTAAGATGGCTAGCCCCTCTTTCACTGGAGTTCAGCTATTACATTATTTAACATATGCAAGATGTTACTAGGTACTCGCATTTAGGTACTAAGGGTGGCTCGTGCACTGTACATTATAACTTACAGCAATTATTCACTTGCCAACATCTGCATTTTTTTCCATGTGTCATGTTTTTAAAGCATCATGTAAGTAACAAGAATTTCTGTGATTCAAGGGGCCCTCTTCCCAAAGTCTGATTTTGTGAATTGGAAATGGTTTGTCAACGTCAGTCCTGTCTCTGACCTTTTTACCTTACGCCCATAGAAATACAAAGTCCTAAAAAATTGCTTTATAATATCATTTGCTATTTAGTATTTGAGCTGGAAGAAACAGAAATGAGTCTCTCTTTGGTCTGTACCAAAATGTATCGGCACAGCTTGTAATATGATGTCAGAATGTTTGACATTGGGATGCCTCTGGTTTTTCAGGTCTTGTAACTTAGTGATCTGCTGTGTTCTGATTTAGGGGATAACTTCTATTGTAACCCTGAGGATAATCTCTCCCTGTTTTGAGATTGCTCTTTGAAGAATACTGAGCCCATACACACCGGTGAAATAATCCTGCGGGCAGGCTTTAAAGAATTCCATCTGCTGTTACTGCGCTAACAGAACTTTTTATGCATGTTCCGTATTTTGTACAAGAGTAGTTTAAGCAAACTGTTAATAGTAGTTCAGATTAATCTTAAAGTTTCACTTTATATGGGAAAGGCTTAGATATGTTTGTCTAGTCAGTTGTTGCTGCTAAAGGGTTTTTACACTGTTATGCAAGCAAATATTAAAACTAAACTCCACTAAGTTATTTGAAGTATTTTGTGGTGAGGACATGTTATCTGTTTAGAAGATTTGTGACACTTTTATGATAGGTTTAAACTGTGGATCTGGCCTGATTAAGAAAAGAACCTGTTTTGGTTATATATTTATTTCTTTTTTTCTAGTTAGGAGAATATTTCTGACAGCAAGCTTAATATGCAGTGGCATTCACTTTAAGAATGGCATAAGCTCTTAGAGAATGAATAAACTAGAACTACAGTTATATTTTTTACATGCTTTTTTATTTAATTTCTCATTAGTGCCCACTTCTGAGAAGATGCCTGGAAACATGCAGCCTAGGTACCTTGAAGATGAGGGTCTTTACACAGGAGAAAGGCCCTTTGTATCACAGTCTAATCAAAATATTTTAGAAAACAGAATACTTAGACAGGAGCAAGTAAGTCGCCACTACCTTCTTAGTTGTCTTTTTAAAACTATCGGTATTTTACTTTGTTCTAGTTAAGTAGGTAGATGGTCACGGTAATATGGGGCTTTCATTTTCAAAATTTTTAGCAGTGTCAGATGTCAGGAAATGTGGACTTCTGTAGGAGTATGTTTTTAGTGTATCACAGTAATCAGAGCACCGGACTGAGTCTTAGGAAACTGGTGTCTTTTCCTGGCTCTGTTCATAGCCTGCTGGGGAACAAATCACTTCGCTTGTCTGTGCCAAGGTTTAGTTGCCACTACAGCAGGGCTAATTATAATTTACTCTTTTTATATAATGCTGTGAGCTAGTGGTATGTATAAAGACTTGTGCAAGAACTAGGCACTGTTGTTAGTATTTACAAGAACATAGCAAAAGAAAACGATGTGGAATGGCTGTTCCCTGTGTCCACGGAAGATAATACAAAGAAATGTACTGATCAGACTGTAAGGGTAATTAAATATTGGTATAGATTATCTGGAGAGGTTTTAGAATCATTTTAGATTTTTAAGAATGGCTTACGGAAACACCCATGATGTTTGACTTGGATATATTTTATCCTGCTGTATTGTCCTCCTGTACACAGTACAGTGTGTAGGGTTTAGTATAGATTTAAGCTACTGTACAGCAGTTGCTCTTTATATTTTGTTATGATTCTATGAATTCATCGTGAGCTAGGAAAGGTACTTTTGTGAATCACATTGGGAATATTTGGATCTCAAATTTTTAACTGGCCAGCTTTAACCCAGTTAGTTTTCTGGTTTACTTCACTGTGTTACTATATCAACGGTGGGTTCTAGGGTCAGCTTAAACCGGGTGTGGGAGTAAGAGGGCAGGCCAGCATCTTTCAGCAGCTGCTAGTTTAAGCTATTCTTGAATCCAGGTCATGAGAGCAGGGATTAATTAGGACAATGTTTAACATGTGAAGCCATGGGTAGCAGTTGGTGTGTAAGGTACTTGCCTCATCTGCTTTCATAGGTGCTGTTTAATTAGTTCAGGTTGTAGATGAGAAGAGTTGAGAGACGTTTTGATGAACAATCTCTCTGAGCTGCCATTTAGCTCTTGTGTAAAACGTAATTCTTTCCATTTTAGTGGTTTAAGAAAACAAAAATTAAATAAGTGATGGGTTGATTATTTTTTTGTTGTTGTTCTTTCAAATCTATAACACTAAATGTTTAAGGAAAAAAATCTATTTTTAAAGTTTGAGCAAGCTCTTGGTCTTTCAATTTCAAAACTTACCTGTAGTATATTTGAAGATTTAATTTTGGTGTCTTAAAGTTTTGGTTAATTCACTCACAAACAATTCAGTCACCTCTTTTTCTATAACTGTTTTCAATAAGAATTATAATTTTCCAAGTTATTTCTGTATAAAGTAAGAAACAATATTATGTTTTTATTTTCAGGGGAAAGAGTGGTTTGGTGACGATGGCAAAATCTTAGCATTGCCTAATCCAATTAAACAGTCTTCTACTAGGCCTCCAGTATTCTCATTGGAAGAAGGCATTGCACCAGAACTTGAAACAGTATATAGAAAGGTAAGGCAGACTGAGACTGAATATCCTAGTTCTTCTGTACCAGAAACCCTCATGAGCCAAAGGGTTTTCTGCTAAGAACCATGAGTACTGACTGCATTTTGGGGTTCCACAGTGTGCTCTACTACTTCTAGTATATTCCACCTGTATTTTTCTGAAAAATAATGCATACAAAAGGATAAAGAGTTTTGCCAGTTAGTACTGGTTAAAATAGTGAAGTGACAGTCCATGACAAACTGCTTCAAGTCTGTGAGTCACTGAGGTCTCTGTGAGGCACCCTTGGATATTCTCATGCCGAAGTAGGGTAGTTTCTGTATTAATCTATAAAACTCCTTGTGGTAGGAGCTGGTAGACAGATATGGTAATCAGGACAGAGGTGCTTTTTGCAGTTTGAGAGAAATAATTTAAGGGCATATTCATGATAGTTATTTACTGTGATGAAATTCCTCCAAAATGCAGTTCACTCATGTAGAAAGCTACTAATTTTGACTTGTTTCATTAGTTCAGATTTTTCTGTTGTTGTTTTTTGTTTTTCCCTCAACTGCAGCTCACCTGCCCTGGCAAACAGCAGTTGTGGTGTGTAGTCAGTACAAATCAAAATAAGGTTCAATTAAAACCATTCAGCAGGCTTTAAGCAAGCTTTAGTTGTTCTGCTTGTAAAAACTGTCACTTTGTAGACTTTAAAAGAGATTGCTCTTTTGGGATACACAAATGTTTGTCTGCTGCTGTTGATACAGATTTGAATGTTTCACTTTAATTGATGCTGCTTACAAATATGCAGTTCTCAGGATGAGATCTATGAGATCTACAGATCTCTGCAGAGTGTTTCTGCATACAGGAAAAGAGGTTGCTGCTTAGATCTTAATAAAGATAGGCCAAGAGAGCTTATGTTTCAAGAACACCATGTTTACATGAAAAGTAACATGTAAATACCCAAATCACTGTTGAAAGAAAGATACTACACTTAAGGATCCTCTATGGTCAGAAATATAGCTAAAACATTGGGAATTCAAAGTTGTCATTTTTATGACAGATTATGGCATATTAAATATTTTGATGAGAAACTGAATGTGGAAGGATCAGGTGGACTTAAGTGTGTTTCATGACCATTTGTACTAGTCCTGTAAAAGAGCTGTGCAACAGCTGAGTTCCCTTTTTAATCCCCCTTTTTACAGTTCTTAGAAAGGGACTGCAACGAACACTACGTAACTAACAACTTCATGTTTTATAGTACCAGAATATCTCTGATGAATCGCTTCTGAAGAATTCTAAGAGGGCAGCAGCAGTACTTGTGCAAGAAGCACTGCTAATTCTCTTCTGATTTCTGTAACCTGAGGATATAAGCCATGATTACCCTTCGGTTGCAGCAAGTTGAAGCAGACTAAGCTTTGTTGCTGAAAGCTTGCTTTGGGCTTTGTTGGTGTGAATTTCCCTGGCGTTAGAATGGAGAAACAAATAACATATTTAATTTTCTACACAATCCAAATGGTCTGCAAGGACAGCTGCTCTCTGAGAGCTGGACTGTTTATCTTAGAGCTCAGTTCTAAGATAAAATAAGGTAATACCAAATAAACAGGTAAAAAGAGAACTAACAGGCTTTTCAATGTCATTGTCTTCATTGCTCAGCAAAACCTGCAATACAGGTAGATGATTTCTTATTTCAGCTTATATGGGCTATCAAAATTCTATTGTGTAGAATACATGTGGTGGTTTTATGACACCCACTTATCAATAAAGCAGAGAGGTTACTGCAGAAGCCTTTTACAGTTTAAGACTCAGTAGTTAGTTGTAGGCAGTACTAAATGGGTCACTTTCTGTCACAAAGTCTCTTCTCAAGATAGTTTTGCAGGGCTTATAAATCCATCTTATTATTTTTTTGTTTCAGGCAATAAAAATTACAGCTGCCAATCAGTATCTTGTTGGACCTGGAGATTATCAGGGGCCGTTTCAATTGGATATTGATATTTCTGGACTGATATTCACCCATCATCCCTGTTTTAGCCGTGAGCATGTGTTAGCAGCTAAATTGGCTCAGTTATATGATCAGTATTTAGCAAGAAAACAGAAGAATCTTACCAAACTTCTCACAGACAAGGTATTTCTATTCCGTTGTCATAGCTTATTGAGATAATGATGTGACAGTTTAAGGTAAAAGCTGAATTTTTTTCTTCAGAGTGATGAAATTCTAATTGTATGGAATGAATGGCGTTTTGTCAGAAGGTAAAAAGCTATTTCACCTAGGTTGTTGTGTGTTCAGTGCAGAACTGCATTTTTAAGATTAGTAATTTCTTTGATCTATTTCAAATGAACTCTATGCAGGTTCTGAGGTAAAGGGAATATAGTTGTTAGAATACAATAACATTTACATAGTATTCCTTAGAGTATCCAAAATGTTTTCCAGTGAATTACAGATAAGGCTTTACAGGATTGCATACAGCACCTCTGACAGACAGACAGCAAAAGACAGTATTCAATGATGGAGGGAAGTTTAATTTCAGTTGTTGATTAAAAGTAAAAAGAATTTCACCAAATTCTGCAAAAGTTGATGACCCATTGTCAGGTATATCTGTGACAGATGCTGTGTTTTAAATCCATACTGTTGTCACATCTACTGTGTCACTCTTGTGACATGGCAAAACCCTAGACCAAATGTACTTTTCTGTTCCTGGCTCCATTGCTGACTTGGTGGATGACCTTGGCTGGGCTGCTTACCCTCTGCGTACCATCCTTCTTCCTCCATCTGTACATTGGAAGTAATGGTAGGGGTCTTCTGTGGTTTAAATTTGTACATGAACATTAGGCATTGTTAGTACAATTCTAATATCATCAGGGCACACAAGGATATTTTTAAAACACTTGAAAATGCTTTTAAAGTCTGAAAGGATAACAGTTCCTTAGAAATGTGAGGTAAATATTGTGATATGACATAGCTCAATGTAGTAGGGCTTGATTAGTTTGAGTACATATAAATTCAGATTTCCATAAATTAAAGGTGATGACAGTTTTCTACCTTAAAGGGCTATTATAAGGGAAAAAATAAAAATTGCATGCAAGGTCATTGTTATGTTAGTGTAATGAGGGTCAGTAGATGCTGTACAGATACTTCTGAATTTTGGTATAAAGTATTACATTATGGTTCTGATGCTGGACAAATATTTCATATAGTGCCTCAAAATAATTCTTCGGTATACTTTGTTCTGTCCTCACTTTTGAAGGATTGGCTTTAGTTCTCCGTGAAACAGGACATTTGGGTTCTCTGTGCCTGCGTTACAGGAACCTGTGTGTGGAAGGGATTTCCTGAGTGTTTCCACAATACTTGTGCAGTTGCCTAGAATACTGGCAAATGTATTTTTCATAAATGAAATTTAACAATGAAGTATTTTAGCCACCATTCTGCTTCTCTAACAGTCATTATTTAATGGCCAGATGGTTGCAGCCAAATCAGTTTTAAGCCTAAAGAACTCTTCCTGTCTTTTCCTCTCCTTCCCCACCATGCCCCAGTGGACTCTCCTTAGCCAGTTCTGATGCTTGCTCTTTATATCTTAAAATATATCACCTTTCAGTCCTCATTTTGACAGGCTAAAGAAACTGCACTTTCTGTCGTCTTTTAAAAAACATCCTCTGTGCCCCAGATGGTACTAGCAGCTTCCCATGTGTTCAGTTATTCTTTATTTCAAAATGGTTTTCAACATCTTTTTTTATATCAGTGAGTTTAATTTTGTGGTTGCCCCTGTATGTTCTCAGCTGAATGCTTCCTGCTCTCCAATTATATTGTTTCTCCAGTTTGATGTGTTTAAAAAAAATAATCTGTGTTCCTGTATTTGTAATTTCATTGCTTCTACTTTGGATATAGTTGCTTTCAGCTCCTGCAGTGCTATTAGCTATTCTGGTTTCACATTTAGTATTATTCTTAAGGAGATCTACAGCAATGTAATAACTAAAATTTTAATTCCTATCCTACTGCTGTTCATTATTTTTCTCTCTTCTCCTAGCCAGTCCTTTTCATTATCTTCACAGCCATGTATATTTTCACATTATCCTAAAGTAGGTGTCCATCTTCCATGTAATCATTTGATGCCTATCTTCAAATCCTAGTTGAAGAGGTGGTCTCTTGACTTGACAGTATGGCTTCAAAAGTGCATTTGAATTGTACCATTGTTCCCACTTCTGTCTTATGCTTGGACCTTCTCTTCTTCCAGTTGTTACATGCAATATGTTATGCTTAAATGCTTTGTTGCAAGGTGCCCAGATTCTGTGAGGCATTCATCAAACCCACAATCCACTCATTTTTGTTATTAGCGTTACCTTTAGTGACCCTTCCTACACCCAAAAATCCCTTTTATAGAAGGTGGGGTTTTTGGCAGACTCACTTTGCCCACCCCACCCCTTTGATGCCTGAGCTATCAGAATAATCCTTAGATCAGTCTATTGCCCTTGTTTAGATCTGTCACAGTGATCAAAGTCAGTAAATCTCCCTCATACATTCAGGGATCCTAACTAGAATTTCATCTTCAAGAATCAGCACCTTGCACGTGCCAAAACCCTGTAAATACAGAATGAAGACAACTCAAGAGTTTTCTCTTAGGTAGTAACTAACTTTAATGTCAGGGTGCATTACACTGCCTCATAAATGTCAAACCACCTGTTAATTGCTTGTTTGTTCATTTAAGCTGCATGCTTTGAGGAATGCTGTGCAGTATAGTATAGACAGTGGTGGTGATGGTGTTCCTAGACCCGTGGCACAACAGAGCATACCTGAATACAAAATTGAGATCAGGTAGGTATGGATTCATTAAATCATTATTTTTTAAAAACTGTGTTATTTTTTTCCTTTCTGTGCTGGTACAAAATATGATTCATGTCATGCTTCTAAATTCTGCTGTGAAAAGCTCTGTAAGAATTTTGAGGGCTTAAGGGTTCTTACTGATAAGTTGAATAAAAAAAAATGACAAAGAAAATATATCTTAGGCGGAAATCTTGATTCAAACTGGTCTGATTTGATTACCTTCTATTAATTAGTATCTATTTACTGTTGTGTTTTGCACAATTAAAATTAAAATAAGGTGTCAGTAGACATCAGCTGGATACATGAAGCTCTCACAACAGTGCAAGTGATGTAATTTTTTTGAAATTACAAAGCCCCTAGTTTTTTCCATCTTCTTCCTCATTATACAAGTGTTCTTGATTCACTTCCCATTCTTAGGTATTTCTGTCCATGTTTTTGCCAGTGGGTTAATATACATAAAATGGTAGAATTTTGTTTTACAAGATTACAGTTATTGTTCTTGGACAGTAACTGGGTAGTAAAAAATATATTACAGTTTTTGGCTTGCTAGTGAAAGTTAGTATTATTTTTGGCAGATGGACAGTAGTGAGCTGTAAGTGTAAGCAGTATGATAAAAATTAAGTTATTTTGGAGATCCATGCTGGACAGCTTTTTAACTAGTAGATATTTAATAAAAATCTGAAAGTTTTTCACAATCTGAAAGTAGGCAATAATATATTAATTTAAATAAACAGAAGTTTAGACTGATGTAATGGGTCACATGATAATACAATATTTTTTTAATCAATTTTTCTGAATAATAATTCTACTACATCTGCTTACACCTACACATCTACTCATTATTCTTAGCTTGTGAATTGCTGCTTCAGATTTTCATTCTTCAAGTACGCTGTCTTGTAATACATTGGTATCTGTGCAGGATGTATAGAAATCTATAATGTATTATTTTATACTGAAGGACAAAGTCTTCCTTCCATTGAAAAAAGGAGTAGCTTTTATTAATATTTTCTTAACACATCTGCTGGAGGACTAGTAGCAGGAGGTGTGCAGTTACCATACAGTACTTTGGAAACAGGAGCTCTCACCAAGGAAAGCATGAGAATAGTAATGAGAAAGTTCACTGTGGGAGTAAGATTCTTGGATTTTGGCACCAACCCTGAGGCTTGCTTGATTGTTAATTCTGATTAGATAGAATATTCCTTCTGGGTATCTTAAATGTGTTTCTAGGTATTGAGTGCTTTACTTTAGTGTCACACTATTATGAGTCAGGAGAAACTAGCTGAAATCAGTGAGATCAGTGTTCCATAAGTAATGTGAGATGAGTTTGGCTGGGATTATCCTGAGGTTTTTCATATCTTTAATTCTTTCTGGCTACATCTCTGTTGTTGGAAGCTGTTACACATATGAGGCTCAGATGGGCTCAGGAATTTTTACTGTCATGGTGTTTAATACAGACTTGGACCACATATGTTGGTAAAAACATTGACCTGCCTTGTCTCTCTTTTAATGCTGCATTTCCCTGATGGTCGCTCTAGTACACTCATGAGAAATTACAGATATGAAGAGAGTGTAGCATGGAAAATAATCGTTTCCTCCACCCTCCAATAATATAACTGAAGTGTATTCTTTGCTATCTGAAGATAAGTGCTGTAGTTTTCCATTGGTTTGAGGAAGAAATGTCATCGGAATACAGAAAAATTTTGCAAATTAGCAATTTCAGCCCTACTGCTCTCGTTTGCTGAGGATGAAGCTAATGTATGCTGCGGATCGCAGGTTTCAGGCTCATCCAACTGATGTATTTTAGCAGAGGTGATTCTCTACTGAAAGGTTCTGCTTCCAAATTGAATACATTAGATAACTGTAATTACTGACCTATATGTTCCTCATGTCTTTAAGATTCATCTTCTAGTTTCATCTCCTAGACAAAGAAGAAAGGCTTGTTAAGCTGCATGGATAAGTAATACTTAAACTGCTAGCTAATGAAGTGGAGAAGTTGCTCATATTGCTCTCTGGAAAGTCTGTGTTTCTTCTTTGTTTATTGTTTTTTACTAAATTTGCTTGTGCTTTTAAATAATGTATAATGTATTTCTCTCAGCTTTAACTCAACCTTCCTGTCTTTCACATTCTTTGAATACAAGTAGTAATGTGTTAGTTTACTTTTTTTTTTCTTTTAAAATCACATTATATTTACTAGACATGTTTAGCTAACCAGGATAGTACTAGAAACAGTCAATGCTTGTGCTGCATAGACATTTACATCAGAAGTGTGTGTTGGTCATTAAAGTGCTAATGAATAGCTCTTTTACAAACAGATTAGAGGATGGAAATGTGAAACACCAATTCTGAGGGGAAAAAAAAAGCCCAGTTAATTATGTTTTTGTTAAGAATCTTGCAGGGCTGTCAAAAGACTTGCATTACTTCATATATTACTACATTACTTCATCTCTGCAAGTCCCTTTTACTGGAGTTAGAAGCATGTTAGGTTTAAAACATACTTTGTAATGTATGATTGTAATAAACATTACTTCATAGCAGCAGATTAGGTTTCCTGGGCTGTTGTTTACATGAATTGACTTTAAAATGGTTTTAATGATGTACAGCTGTAATAAGCATTTCAGAAAAGTTTGAAATCTCTAGAGAATGAGCTGTCATTGGAGTCAGATAGTCCAAAATGCAAGAGACTAGAAGTACAGAAGGAAATCAAATCCTGCCATCTTTGAGTCTGGGGTTTATGCTTCTTGGATTTAAACCACTGCAGCCATCATCAATCAAATTGAAACCCACATCACTTGGCTTTTGATATCACAAGTTTTCATTCTATTGTTCCTCTGAGTTATACAATTCTGATTGATTTTGTGCACGTGTGTGTGTATGTGTATATATATATATATATTTGTTTTTTTCCAGGCAAACCAGAAGACTTCGTGATGCTGAACAAGAAAAAGACAGAATGTTGCTTAAGACCATTATAAAAGTTTGGAAACAAATTAAATCCCTCCGTGACTTTCAGAAGTTTACTAACACACCCATGAAACTTTATTTGAGGAAGTATGTTTTGATAACACTTTTTATATTTCATTTGCCAGCAGTGGAGTTTTAATAAGATTAATCAATTTGGGAAATTACAATTCTGATACATAGGGTGCAAAAGTAAGAATTTGAGTGGTGTCTGGCACTGGTTGAGCCTGACGCTATTCTTTTTGAGTTTGGGGAGGAAGGAAGGTTAAAATTACAAGTAATTACTGTAACAGAAAGAAATTTCTATTAGCTAATGAATAAACAAAGAATAGTTGTATTCATTCTGGTTAGTAACTAGCTGCTATCAACTCCTGAAGTATCTATGCTCTTATTTTTAAATAGAACACACTTTTGATATAATCAAATTAATTCATGGAGAAGTATATATGTTATAGACTTAATTGGAGCCCTTATGTTAATTTATATAATGTGTTGGTAACTGTTGTTTTGAAGGGAAGAGGTTGATCAGAAACTAGATGAAAAAGCATATGAAGCAGAAATTCAGGCTGAGATAAATGAATTACTAGAAGAATGTATGGAAGAATATGAAAAGAAAATGGAGGAATATAAAACTGAGCTACAAGAGTGGAAATCCTGGAAGAAGACACAGGTTTGTTTAAATCATTCCATTTCACAAAAAAATAAAAATATTACTAAATGTGTTTGAAAATTTGTCCTAATACAAAAAAAAAATCAGTTTCAGGATAGTTATGCATAAATTTTGTAATGTATTTGGATGCATTCTGTCTACTTAGAATTTGTAGAATTAAAATTTGCTTGATTTTTATGGAGCATTGTCTTCTTGCTATTGATTTTTCAGCACTTCAGCAGTTCTTTCTTTAAAATTAATAGTTTTGTAGCATTCCCATCAAATTCATGTCCTTCTTGCAAACAAAGACCATGAATTAATTTTTTGTGCGTGTGTTTCTAATGAACAGGCAGTTGACATCATCTTGTGTAAATTTGTGGTAAGGAATGTCACAATACTGAAAACTTTAGTTAATATACTAGCCTTTTACCTCTGAAAAGCTTTATTGCTAATAATCTGTATTGTAGTTAAGTTGTCAGTTGTGCTTCAAGAGGATGCTGACAATAGAGGAGCTAGAATGATACACTGCAACAGGATGTTCTTTGAAATATTCTGTGGCAGTGCTGGCAAAATCAGACTTGCTTTCGTAGTTATGTGGCAGTGTAGTGGATGCCTCAGGGTAGTGGTGATTATACTTGGATATAGTTACTGCCCAATTTGAACACTCTTTTTTTGGATACCAAAGAAAAATTAAGGAAATACTTCAAACACAGTTTTCAAGAATCTAGTGCAGGGGATCTGTAGGTATTGGAAATTCCTGTTAGCCAAACACAAGTGGGCACATGACTCATTAGTACCATGTTAATTCACTTGTAGGATAAGATGAATAAATGTAAACCTTTAAAATGAAGGCAGATAGTCTTGAGCATTGGTCCTGACAGGAGCTGTTCATCTACCTCTTGACAGTTACGCATTCGAGAATACCATGGGGGTTGTTCCAGCCAAAGCTGTCTCAGCATCTTTTTATTGTGTAGGCTGCAAACTGTCTTGAGACTGAAATCACTGTGGTTCCTTCCTTTTAGAGTGAAATGTGGTACACAGACCTTTCTTTCACACCCAGAAGTGCTTTATTTTACTCAAAGTGCTTTTTCTGTTGATCACTGCTGGTGGTGTCTTACTAGCACAGATCACATAAATCTAAGAAAGACACTAGATAAATTTAAAAGCAAATACAAGAACAAAAAGGGTAACATCAAGTTAGGCCAAGAAAGAAACTATTTATTCATAAAATATGTGAACAAATTGTTTGGCTAAATACTTCAGTTAGTGAGGAGAAACTGTTTGCTTTCCTCACCTCTCTCTTGCTTATGGTGTCTTAAATAATGAAGTGGCTGGTGCTTCCAGGCAAGGTGTACTTCCAAGTAATCTGTAAGTCTGTGGAAGGAGGAACTTGCTTGCAGTTGTTTTAAGCTGAACATGCACGTAACACTGGATTTCTGCAGTTTAGAAGACGCTGAAAGGGATGCGATGGTCTGTTTATTCTTCTGTTTGTCATAGAAGAATGGAAGGAATCATTCTGCTCATGCTTAATACACTGCTAAGCTGAAAATCTTGTGCTCCAAAGTTGGTGGCACATGTGTGTTCACTTCATCAATGTGTATGCAGATAATACATCTCAAAGAACTGTGTCTACTGGTTGAGTAACCTTTCTTCAATCCTAACAGAATGCATGTGGTAGCTCAGGCTAAATGAGAAGCTGCTAGCCAGAATGTTCAAGAAACATGTTTGTTTTGTAAGATGGTTGGGAAGGTTAAATAAATGTTTTGTTTGAAACAGATTATGTTTTTGAAGCATATGAATGGAATGCATTGATAAATTCTGAATCTGTAGTACTAGTATGGAATGAGAGAAGTCTTACTTCTGTGTGTGGTGATTTTAAAATTATAAAGTCATTTCTCATACATGTTTATCACTTGTGAATCAAGAGAAGAAAACTACATATTGAAACAGGTTCAGGAAGAACATTATTATTTTAATATGCAGAAGTCCAAGAAGAAAAAGAAGAAAAAAGGCATTCATGAAGAAGAAGAATCAGTAGAGGATTGCGATCTTGGTGAGGAACGTGTAAAACCCATCCCACCTAAAATGGTCAGTAGCCTGGAAATAGAGCAGCAGGTGAGAGAAAAAGCTGATAACTGCAGAAGGAAACCCGGAGTGCCTGCTCTAATTCCTGAACTAGTCCTGTCAGGAAGCGTAACTCCGACTGAGCTGTGCCCTCGGTAAGAGAAACGTTGGTGTGCAAATTACTTTGTTCATGATTTTGTGCTGTTATTTATTAATTAATTGACTGTACAACTTCAGAAGCATGTGCTCAGCATTCTGTTTAGCCTAATGATAAAACTTCTGCTTCTGAAGCCAAAATAACTATTTGTTTTCAAGTCACGTGGAACCTTGTATATAGTGGGCTTGGAGAAGGCATGTCTACACGTTACCTTTGAACCTTTTTACATTCCTTGAGCATCTGCGTGGAACAGTGGTGTGTGTGTATATATATATATATATATATATATATATATATAAAGAAAGATGTTTTCAGTCTAGAGTCTGGGTCACCTCTGGCGATACCACTCTCACTAGCTAGTCCTTTACACCACATCTGTCCTATAGTCAACAAAGGAAAAGTAAAAGAAATCGTGTAGTAAACCAGAGATTTCACTGTGGATAAAATAAGTAAATTTACTTAACAAATTTACTAAATTTGTTTGTGTTACTTTCCACATTTATGCATGCAATTTAACATACATCTAACAGATTCTAGTTACTTAAAAACTGTTTTTTTTCATAGTTATTTAGCAGATAGCCTCATTGAGGAATATTGCTTGGCTGTTCTACTCCCAGTGACTAAAAACTTCAAAATATTAACTAAACTTGATATCATTTGTTGTGCTTTGGAGGAAGGGAGTAGAAGGCAATGTTTCCCTAAATAACTCCTTTTATATGGCGGTGGCTTTAGTGGATGTGAAATTTGACCTGTTCATTTTTTAATCATTTTATATTCATGAGAAGATAAACCAATTGTTAAATAATAGTTTTAAAGTCATTCCAGTGTAGTGACATCTTTAGAATACCATCTTTATTTAGTGACTTCTGTTTCCCCTTGAGAAATCAGATTCTCATCAAAAATAATGAAAGAACAAAAATGTTATTAAAAATTATATGACACGTTGTTTGACATATTTACAGAGCAGAAGTTTTGCGACGAGAAGATGTGAAGAAACGCTCCGCATTTATAAAAGTCCTTTTCAACTCGAAAGAAGTATCAAGGACTGTTACCCGACCAATAAGTTCAGATTTCAGAGTTCACTTTGGCCAGATTTTCAATTTACAGATATTCAATTGGCCAGAAAGTTTGAAACTGCAGGTAGGTAATGATTTCTCATAATAACTTTTAAAAAGATTATTGAAATGTATTACTCCTGTAATGCTTGTATTTTGCTCTATGGTAGTATTGCAATGACTGAAAAACCTGTGAAAGACTCATTTTAAATCATCAATCTTATAACCCTTCCTTGATTCCCCAGTCACAGACTTTTAACTTTGCCGCTACATTTTGATGCTTGTGCTTTTATAAATATTTAAAAACAAAACCAAAACCAACACTATGGGCTGCATGGGAGAAATTAAATAATTAGGACATGATTAAAAATGTTAGTAGAGCAGCCTCTTAATTTTAGAAAAAGTGATTTATGTTGCAGATAAACTTGCCAAAATGGTCTTAAAATATTATTGCCACACAGTAGAGTCATCATAATGTTTGCTGGAGGGGGGTAGGAAAAAAAGTAATTGCTAGTAATGTCCATCACTGCACTTGACTTGATCAACAGTGCAGTTAAGTCAAACTACCAGCACCATTCCATGTATGAATTAATGAGTCGCATGAATAATTTTGAGAGCCAGTACAATGTATTTTTAGAAGGAACACAGTCGGGATCCTACTTCTCCTGTTCAGTGACTTTTTCTGTTAGGTAACTTAACCACTGGTAATTCAGAGGAATGCCCTTGCCTGCTCCATTTATGTAACAGACAAATTGAAAGGGAGAAGGAATATCATCTTGGATTAAAAATATCTGAATGGAGAAATAATTCTCATCGCTCTGTGCTTGCAGCTGGCCAGGAAAGAGGGAAGCAACCTTCAGTACTGCCAGGACAGGGACTATGCCTTTCCCTTACCACAAAAGGCAGGATGAATTAGTGAGGTAGAATCCCTCTGGCACCTTCACCTGATGCCAGTAACTGTCACAAACCCTTACATATTGTACAGTGATGCCCTTTAAAGCCTAGAGTTTGTCATACTATTCTCAGGTGCATTAGAAAAGTGAAGAGGATATACTTGTAAGAATTCAGAACAAGTTAACTGCTGGTAGCTGAAATGTCTGCTAATTGGATATTTTAGAAAGTAAATTAATACAATTGCCTTTAATTATTTCATGCTTAAGTCATAGTAAAACCTTTTGTCCAAATATCCCACAACATGTTTTCAACTTCTCATGAATACATGCGTAAATTTTTTACTATGTCTATCACTATATTTTCTTCTAGATATATGAAACAATGGGTATGAGTGGCACCACCTTGTTGGCTGAAGTGTTCATACCTGTTCCTGAGACGACAGTTCTGACAGGCAGTGCTCCTATGGAAGAAATAGAGTTCAGCAGCAATCAGCGTGTGATGTTGGACCATGAAGGAGTTGGGAGTGGTAGGGACTATCTCAATTCAGGGTTTCTTATTTTGCTGAAACCATGTAGCAGTAATAGGCTGGTATAAGTTTCAGAGTAAATTCTGTTAAGAGCATTTACAGCTTCTGTAACTGAATCTTATCCGTGGAATTTTTATCTCTTACTAATTTTAATCTGTATATAATAAAAATGTGTATGTGTATTATTTGGTTTGCTATAGAAGGTGTTTGGGGTTTTTTAGTATTTAAGTGATCAGGCCTATGACACTGCAGAGCAAGCAGATGGTATTAATCAGTATAGCTCCAGTGATTTTAATGTTTTAAACCATTGAAGAACTGACGCAGAGTAATTTTTTTTGTCATCCTGTTTGCTTTGTTGACACCCTGTAACACATTTTATCCCTGGAACTTCAGAAAGGTAAAACAAGGGAGAGATAGGAAAAGAGGAAACAAGAATAGTACATAGTAGCATATAGAACTTTCAAGTTTATGTAATAAGTTTGAACAGCATTACAAGATGACTTTGACTTGCATAAATTTGGCATATATGAAGTAGAGGTCAAGACAGAGCAGAAGAATAGATGAAAAACTGTGGAGGAAAGAAATGTGGCAAAAAAATCATAACAAATGTGTGTGTATATGACATGGACCATGATAACTGTATATACAATTGTGTATCACAAAGCTTTTCAGTCATGCATAATTCTCTTGGCTCTGAATTTGTTTCATTAATAACAGTATACTGAATCTGAAAAGTACCAGAAATATTAAATAGTGTGCATCTGTGAAGGAAAAAAACCCACCTTTTGTGTATTTTCCAAGGCATAGCCTTTCCTTCCAACTCAAATGGAAAGCCTTTCTGTAGGCAGAATAGAATCTTCCACTCCTTTTGTAGAGCAGAGTTCTTCCCCACAACATGCAGCAGAATCAAGTTGTTTCACATTACCCCATTTATATAAAAGCACAGGTTATTTGACTACTTATTTTCAACAAATGTTTTTAAAAATGTTTAAATGCATAAATACACTATTTTGTGTTTTGCCCTCCTTGATAGGTGCGTCCTTTTCATTTGAAGCTGATGGTAGCAACAAAATGACTTTAATGACCTCTGGGAAAGTATCCAATAGTGTCTCTTGGGCAGTTGGAGAAAAAGGAATCCCCTTAATTCCTCCAGCATCTCAGCAAAACACAGGAATTCCAAGGTAATATGATGAATTTTCAGTGATTCATGGGAAACTGATTATACTAGTATTTTTTAAAAATAGACTTTCAAAATCTTTTTTCTTAAGTTGAAGTATTTTACTTTGCACTGTAACCCTCTGCATATATCTTAGGGTACGTATTTTTGGAAAATATTTTACTTAAAAATTGTATCTTTTAGTATATTATTTCTAGACAATATTAAAGTTATACTCAAGGTGATTAATTCACTATTACAATTTTCTAATTGTATATGTGTGTGTGTGTGTGTGTGTGTGTGTGTATATATATATATATATATACACACATATATAGGCAGGGAACTTTCCTGTAATTTTGCTAAGAACAGAAGCTCCAGCTCTTTCTTATCTGAAGTGAATTTGAGGAGGCTACTGGGACACATGTTTTAAATGCCTTTTCTGTAATTAATGATAAATCTTACACTATGGAAACAGTAGAAGTTAGTATGGGGGCTTGACACTGTTAGTGAATTAATCAGTGAAAAATTCTCATCTGTTAGATCATTCTAAGAAAATACTCCTTCATTATTTTTTTCCATCAGAAGCCTGTTGACCTGCAGAAATTAGTATATTATTCCATTCAGAACAATCTAATTTGCCCTGTGGCTCCAAGTTGGATATTATAGACTATTTGTTCACTTTGTTGCTTTTATATAATTCCAATAAAGTCAAGGAGATGATACATAAAGTCTGCTTTTGTAATGTCCTCGGGTAACTTCACTATAAAGCCTTAAGAGTTTCCCCATACTTATTAACCTCTTCTAGCTGATTAGATTCTGTCAGATTCTTATTAACTCAGAGGCTAGACCTTGTCATCCAAATCACTGGTACTATTTTTGACCCAAGCTGCAGCAGTTAATTTGCTGATCAGTTTGAGTAACATACTGATTTCAATGAGAGTAGAATAGCATGAGATTAAAACATAAGGGTTCATTCCCAAAGGCTAACTTTAAACTTGGGAGACTAATCGCTATAGTAAATGGAAAAATGGAGAATTTCAGAAGGAAGTTAGCTGTAAAACACTCTCTGAATCACCCTCTGGAGATGAACAGCCCCCTGTGACTTTCCATTGTTTGTTGTGAACGTCAGAGACAGGATTTTCATGCCTAAAGCTAGTTTTTGCTGTCCATTAGCTTTTCAGCACAATTGTGATGCAGTGTGCATTTGTTCAAGACTGGTGCTTAAAGATACAACCTTGATGTTACCACCTTATCTGCTGCTCTAGTAACTGCTGGGTATTCGGCTGATTCTAACCAAGTGGAAGAAAGATCTATGAGTTCCTAAAGCTTTCTTGAAAATATTCAGATAAGTGGAGAACAGAGACTCAAATTAGCACCCCTAACAAGAGAAGGGTCAACATCCAACTTCTGTGGTATTTGGCTAATAACACCCATGTCCTGGTGTACTGGGTTTATGTGGCAAAGTTTTGTGAGTGGTAGGGCTTCTGGGGTAGCTTTTGTGAGAACATGCCAGAAGCCTGGCCAGCAAGTCAGTGTACAAATGTGGCCTCCAGACTCCCTATCATACTTCCTTGTCTACTGCAAATACAAGAAAGTGAGCAGGAGCATCCAAAGGATAAGGAGTGGAGCTGGGACTCATAGTGTCAGGAAGGACCCAAAGCAGGGCTGCACCACAAGGGAGAAGGCTGCCAGCACGGGCAGTGTCCTTGCCAGACACCATACAGTCTTACAGGAGCTGAACGTGACAGGCAGAGCAGGGTGCTGGCAGCAGGCCCAGACATGGCAAGGTGATGAATCAGGCCCCAGGGCCTATCTAGAAAAAGCAGGGAAGGGGATAGAGACCCAGGCTTACAATGCAGGTTGAAAAGAGCCATCCAGGAGACAGGTCAAAGACAGGATTGAAGACATAGCCCAGGCAAGGACTGTACATCTGAGAAGTTCTTTCAGTATGGATTGTCAAACATTTACGTTAACTTTTCATGCTGTAGAGCAATTTATTATCTTGCATCTTAGTAATCAGCAACATGGAATAGTGTAGGTGTATCATAAATGTATCAATAAGAACCTTACTACCTTGTATAAAAGTTCTCTTCTACCAGTTCCTTCATATTTCCCCTTTACTTTCCTTTGCAATTCCCTCAGTTGCATAGCTACAACTAAGAATTGCATAGTGGAATTTACTATTCAGCTTGTAGAAACCCCCCCAAAAGCTCCCTACAATTGTTTTAAAAACTTTTTTTTTTTATATTGCTAAATCATACGTGGTTTAGGTATAAATTCTGTCAATTCTGTCTTTTTAGTGCTTTAAAAAATATTGACGCTATTGCATCCATTGGCACATCAGGCTTAACTGACATGAAGAAACTAGCTAAGTGGGCAGCGGAAGCAAAACTTGATCCAAATGACCCAAACAATGCAGCTCTGATGCAGCTGGTCATGGTAAGTGGCTTTTTCAGAGCTGTAGGGCTAATGGACCTATGAAACACCTAGTCACCAGTACCTTCTCAAGCAATCTGCATGCATGCCAGGGAGGCAGTAGCACTTGAATTTGTGATGGACGTACTTGTGTGAGCGTTAAGAAGCAAAATGTCTATTAAAAATATGATTTATTAATCCATTTAGTAGTGGGTTAATTATTTATTAATAAGTATGATTTATTAATCTGTTCAGTAGTATTCTAGTGGTGAAAAATAGGTATGGTATATGGGAATAGACAAACTGATTAATTTATAAAAAATACATATTTTGAGTCTGTTGTTTCCCTAAAGTGCAGGGGTATTCCCAGTGTACTTGTATGGTATTAAATAGGAAGTTGCTCATTAATGACAATTGCACAAAGAGATCTAGTGTCTTGTAGAAGTTGGGACTCTTCTAAACCTCAAATTGAGGAGCTATTTACATAGCTGAAGTTGTGAGAATGAGTTGTCTGTACAGTTCAGTTTCCTAGGTTACTCTGCTATGTTATAATTTTCCTACTATTTAGTATTTTGTTTATGTTACAAGGAAATAGAATCTTATTGTCCTTCTTAAATGTATAATCTCATATACTTTGCTCAACAAAAACCTACTTTAAAAAACTTAGTGTTTCAGTCTCAGTTTGATCCATGTCAATTGCTTTTGCTTAAAACGAACATTTCTGCAATATACATGTAAGACTTACAGACCTTATTTTACAGATGTGTCACTTTGTATGAAAAGGTTAATAATTTTTTGACTAATTTAGGTTGCTACAAGTGGAGAGGCACACATTCCTGATTTCTTCAGATTGGAACAGTTGCAGCAAGAATTTAATTTTGTTTCTGATGAGGAATTTAGTAGATCAAAGAGATTCCGACTCTTGCAGCTCCGAAGTGGGGAGGTGGCAGAGTTCCGAAACTATAAGCAAGTCCCTCTGCATGAACGAGAAATCAGTGAGAAAATTTTCCAGGTAGAATGTTATTCAAGATACTTATTTTCTAGTTTTAATGCTAATAATATTTAACTTGCAGTTGAGTCAACTGGTCCCTTCAAAGTATGTACAGCTATGCTGACATGCAAAAAATCAGAATTTCATTCTGTTATTTTCTAGTGTTATTTTAATCTAATTAAGATAGCTTCATTGCAAGGCCATTTTTTCCACAGGTATACTGTGGAAGGAGAAGAATAAACCACAGTAACTGCTGTAGACACAAATGTTCTAAGAGTGGGGTTTTTAAAGGCAAGAGACTTTTTTTAAAAAAAAAAGTTAAATATAGAAAGAATAATGCAGATATAATTCAGGCTTAGGCTTATTAACTTTTGAGCCCTTTCTGTGGAGACTGCTGGAAGCAATGACACTAATGAGAATTAAAACCTTTTTATGTTTTACTTAACAGCCTATGTTGCAGTTCTTTCTGGTTTAGTACATCGTTCCAATTATTTTACCCTGTCCTTGCCTGTCTGTTAATTACCTTACTGAAATGCAATGTGTGCATTTTTTATTTTGGTCATACTTCAATTATTTTTAATCTCAACTCCATTATTAGTATTTAGTCGCACATTCTTTTGTTCTTTAGCAATTCATGTAGCTTAGGATCATTTTAGTGTGTTCATTGCCTTAGCAGGATCAGAATCATCTCAGATTCTGGCAACTCCTGCTTTATCCCTACTTGTTCTTACATAAATTTCTTTGAAAAATGCCCTTCTTCCATTTCTTTTGGATTATATCTTTCTTAAAAAAAGATATTTATTAATTCAATCATGTCTGGCTCTTTCCAATAAATATTTTTCCTTTTTAAATTTTAGGTTAGTTTTGTGTCTTTTATTTAAAGATGTGCCACATCTTTGATACACATTTATGGTCCAGGTGATTTTGTGGACTAACTGTGTTCATTTCAAGATACCATTCAAAATTGAAAGCCATAGTTTAAGAACTGTTTTATTTGGGGTTTTTTTTCCATTAAGGATAAATTGGATAAACCCATGATCATCCATTCCAAGTTCATTTTATATGACATGATCTTCAAAACTAAGTTTAAAGTGATATTGTTCCTAGTTGGTTTACTAGCTCTTTGGCAAAGAAGTCTGAAAATTCATGGAATCATGGAAATATTGTTTGGAAAATACTGTCTGGAGGTAATCTAGTCCTGCTTTCCACTGAAGTGCTGGGACTGTTGCCAGCACTAGATGAGGTCAGCTGTGTATTTGTCTAGCCATGTCCTTGAAGAGGAGATTCCACCGCCTTTCTGGGTAACCTGTTCCAGTGCTGCACTATGCTTCCAGTGATTATTTAAAAAAAAAAAAAGAAAAAAATCACGTCCAACCTGAGTCTTCCAAGTTGTATTTAATGGCCATTTTCCCTTGTTATATTGTCTGGAAGTACAGAGATGAGTTTGGCACTCTCCTGTTTGTAACTGCCCCTCAGATAGTTGTGGGTAGATATTGAATTGCTCATTAATCTCTTCCTCGCCAGACTAATTAAGTTGAACACTTTGTCCAGTGCAAGAAAGACACTGAAATACTGGAGCAAGTCCAGCAGAGAGCTACCAGAATATCTACAGGGCTGAAGCATGTGATGGGCAAGCAGAGGCTGAAAGGCCTGAGTTTGGTTTGTCCTGAGCAAGCAAGCCTAAGGAGCTATCTTACTGTGTCCTTCAGGTACCTAGTGAGATGGTGGCAACAGATGGTGTAGAGAAAACAGAGAAAGACTCACCTTAGAGGCAAGATGATGATAGACACTTCCAGAGAAATTCAAGTTAGATGTAATGAAAGCATTTTTCACAAAGATAGTATTCAAATTTTAGAACACATTGTCCAGCGAGTTTGTAGAACTGCCATCTTTAGAGATACTGAAAATGCAACTGGCAAAGGCCTTAAGCATCCTGATTGGAGTTGTTCCTTCTTTGAGTGAGTATTTGGATCAGATGACCACCAGAGGTTTCTTCCAACCTACATTATTCTAAGATTCTGACCTCTCCTTGTAGGTCATGTATTCTAGGCCTCTGACTGTCTTAGTAGTCCAGTTTTTCCACATGCTTCTTGTACTGGCAGCCTGCAACTGGACACGATATTTCAGGTATGTCCTCATAAGTGCCAGATTGGAGGAGCTAGTAGTTTCCCTTTGTCTGTAGGCCCTACTAGTCCTAATGTAGCCTGTGGCTTGCCTTTTGCCAAGAGAGCACATTGTTGGTTGCCATTAAACCATAACCCACAGATGTTTTTTTCAATATGGTTGTTATTCAGCTGGTTGCTTTCCAGTCTGTGCCACCACAGGAGTTACTCCACTCTCAATACGGAATTTTGCCTTTTCTTCATTGAGACATCAGTTGTCATAGTCTTCAATTATCAACAGTCTTTTGAATTGTGGTTCATTGTGATGAATACAGTGACTTGTATTAACTGCTCTTCCTAATCAAGTATTGTTGGCTAAATTGCTAACGGTGTATTGTGTCTCCTCATCCAGGTCACTGGTGAAGATACTGAGTAATATTGGCCCTATAATCAGCACCATGGGTACTTTGCTAATTAGAGGATGCCAGCCGGACACTGAGCTATTGATCTTACTCTTAGAGCTCAGTTGTCCATCCTGTTTTCAACCCAACAAGCAGTCCATTCAAAATCATACTTCCTCAAGTTGTCCCAATCAGGAATAACTGCATTCTACTTGTTGGTGATATTTTCAATCTGTTTCACCCTACAGAGAGGGTGGAGACAAGGACATGGAGCCTGAGAGGAATACAGAGAAACTGCCTGAGCAGCCAGGAATCAGGTTAGGAAGGCCAAAGCCCTGTTAGAATTAAATCCGGCCAGGGATGTCAGGGGCAACAAGAAGAGCTTCTGTAGGCATGTCAGTGATAAAAGGAAGACTAGGGAAAATGTGAGCCATCTCCAGAAGGAAATAGGAAACCTGGTTACCAGAGATACGGGGAAGGCTGAGGTACTCAATGATTCTCTTGCCTCAGTCTTCACTGGCAAGCGCTCCAGCCATACCACACAAGATGCAGAAGGCAAAGGCAGGGACTGGGAGAATGAAGAACTGCCCACTGTAAGAGAAGATCAGGTTTGAGACCATCTAAGGAACCTGAAAGTGCACAAGTCCATGAGATGCATCCATGGGTCCTGAGGGAACTGGCGGATAAAGTGGCTAAGCCACTCTCCATCATATTTGGGAAGTCATGGCAGTCCAGTAGAGTTCCTGCTGACTGGAAAAGGGGGAACATATCATCCATTTTTAAAAAGGAAAATAAAGACCTGGGGAACTACAGGCCAGTGAGTCTCATCTCTGCCTGGCAGGATCATTGAGCAGATCCTCCTGGAAATTATTCTAGGGCACATGGAAAATAAAGAGGTGATTGAGAGCCAACATGACTTTACTAAGGACAAATCATGCCTGACAAATTTGGTGGCCTTCTGTGATGGAGTTCTGGCATTGGTGGACAAGGGAAGAGCAACTCATGTCATCTACCTGGATTGTGCAAAGCATTTGATACTGTCCTGCACAACATTCTTGTCTCTAAATTGGAGAGACATGGGTTTGGTGGATGGACCACTCAGTGGATAAGGAATTGGCTGAATGGTCACAATCAAAGGGTTGTGGTCAACAACTCGATGCCTAAATGAAGAGCAGTGACGAGTGGTGTTCCTCAGGGGTCAGTACTGGAACCAGTGCTGTTTAACATCTTTGTTGGCAACACAGACAGTGTGTTTGAGTGCACCATCAGCAAGTTCACAGATGACACCAAGCTGTGTAGTGAGGTGGACACGCTGGAGGGAAGGGACGTGCCATCCAGAGGAACCTTGACAGGCTCAAAAAGTGGGACCATACAAAGTTCATGAAGTTCAACAAGGCCAAGTGCAAGGTCCTGCACATGGGCCAAGGCAATTCCATGCACAAATACAGGCTGGGTAATGGATGGATTGAGCAAAGACCTGTGGAGAGGGACTTGAGAGTAGTAGTGGATGGAAAACTGACTATGACCCAGTAACATGCACTTGCAGCCCAGAAAGCCAACCGTATCCTGGGTTGTGTCAAGAGCAGTGTGGTCAGCTGGTTGAGGGAGGTGATTCTCCCCACCTATTCCACTCTTGTGAGACCCCACCTGTAGTGCTGTGTCCATCTCTGGGTCCCCCAACATAAGAACAACATGGATCTGTTGGAGCAAATCCAGAGGAGGCCACGAAGATGATCATGGGACTGGAGCACCTCCCTTATGAGGGCAGTCTGAGAAAGTTGGGGTTGGTCAGCCTGGAGAAGAGAAGGCTCCAGGGAGATGTTATAGTAGCCTTTCAGTACTTAAAGGGAAGGATAGGGAGGGACTCTTGATCAGGGAGTATGGTGATAGGATGAGCAGTAATGGTTTTAAACTGAAAGGGCATATTTACATTAGATATTAGGAAGACATTCTGTACTGTGAGGGCTGTGAGGTACTGGAAGAGGTTGCCCAGAGAGGCTGTGGCTGCCCCCTCCCTGGCAGTGTCCAAGGCCAGGTTGGACGGGGCTTTGAGCAACCTGGGCTAGTGGAAGGTGTCCCTGCCCATGGCAGGGGGTTGGAACTAGATGATCGTTAGGGTCCCTTCCAACCCAAACCATTCTATGATTCTATATCCTATCTCTATTCCTAAATTATAAACTCTGTAGTCCTACCTAAATCTGATAGTGGAATTTTCCTGCTGTTGGTTCACTGTGGTAGGCAACTAAGTACCACACAGACGCTTGTTCATTTCCCCTCTCCCTCCCACCCTCTCCCACAGGGGAGAGAATACGTGGATCAAAAGCGAGAAAACTCATGGGTTGGTATAGTTTTATAAGTGAAAGAAAGAAGAAGAAAAAAGAAAAAACTAAAAACAAGTGATGTAAAGGGGCTTGTCACCTCCCACTTGTAGACTGATCTTAAGCGAGTCTGAGCAATGGCTACTTTCCCCAGAATCCCCTCCCTTTCCATTTTACTGCTGATCATGACATTATATGGCATGGAATATTATCCCTGTGATCATTTTGAGTTCACTGTTCTTGTTGTGTCCCCTCCCAATTTCTTGTGCACCCCCAACCTACTTGCTGGGGGAAGGGTAGAAAAAGAGAGTGTTGACAGTGTGCAAGCACTTCCCAACAATAGTCAAACCACTGGTGTGTTATCAATACCATTTTAGTCACAAATTCAAAACATAGTAGCATACTGAGTGCTATGAAGAAAATTAAATCGATCCCAACCAGACCCAATACAATTAGGCCATGAAATAATCATCTTTTTTCCCCCCCACTGCGGTGTTTCCTCAAGTGATTCTGTTTTATTCGTCCTCTCCAATCTTTTTACAGTGTATGGCAGTAATAGTACTGCTGTGAAATCTTCTGTTCCTTAGTATTTTTGATTCCTTGTGTTTCTCAGAATGAATGGGTCCATCATCTCTACCAATGAACCCAGCAGCGTAGGCTGCATGATTTTGATAATCCAAGACATGCCATGCTTATGGGCAAGCAGAATGTCTTGATACACTTACAGAAATAAAGCAACACAAGTGTCTTGGGTCAGATGGGAAGCATTTCAATTTGGTGTTCACTACTAGACTCAGGGCCACTCAATCTGTATCTGAGTATTTGCTGTATTAGAAATTTATGATCTTTTCCTATTTCTTCTGAAAGTTCATTTAATGCCAACAGTTTACTAACAGTTAACAAGTACTAATTAATGATTTGCAATATTGCAGTAAAAAGACTTCTGAAGGAAGCAATGTGTATGCATGTGCCAGTTAGATGTTCAACTCCCATTATAGGACTTCTAGTTTAGCCATTACTAGAGCTGCCTAAAAAATAAGATTTCTGGCTCAAAAGAGCTATTTTTATTTTATTTTGTTGCTAATATGAAGTCATTCAACAATAATTATTTGAAAAACTCAGAAAAAGGTTTATTGTGTTTCTAGAATGTGCTTCCTGGACCCTTTATCTTGGGGGGAAAAAATACGTTCTTTTAAGTAACAACAGTAGCAAAAAGACCTGAAGATTAATTTTACTGAGTAGCTTTTACATGATAACTAGCTGTGGTTCTAAAGCCAACCTGATTTGCAGACTGCCATTAAGCTGCAGGTCCTAGGACAACCCCTGGACTGGCAGGCTCTGTGTTTTGTTTAGAAGCTGAGTGTCAGCTCTAGCCTCTTCCTAATTCATGAGATGCTTTCCTAAACTTTTACGTAAAAGTTGCATATGTCAGTACAGCTTTCATTGTAGTCCACCAGAATAGTAACCACAATCCTGAGAAATATTCCATCAAGTCTTCTCTTCAAGAACCAAGTGCTTCTCATTAATCATTAATCTTTTCTTGTGGTGGAAACCAGTATTCATCTCAGCCCCTCGATTAGGCTGCAGACTCTTTTATGAAGCCTCAGGCAAAGCAAAATCTTCACACTCTTGACTGCTTAGAGTTTTCACGTTCTCACAATGTACAAACAGATGTTTTTATTATGCTATTAAATCTCTCTTATTTTTTGAATATCACTTAAAAATAGCTTAATAATTGTTTTCTCAACTATCTCTCCTACAAGTAGAGTTTCTTCCAGTGTCAGACACTATGAAAACTGGTTATGTGTATTAAAACATAGTTCAGATTTCAGGTCATCTTCCATGAATACTGCATCACTTCTGTTCATGAAGGATTATCTCTATTGCAGCTGCAGGAAGCCATTTCCAGTTCAAATAGAATTTCAGTTTACAGCAGCAGGTCGAAGTTCGTCTTTAGGAGAAGAGACAAGTTATTCATAGTAATTTAAACCACATGAGTCTTGTAACAATGGAATTCTTGTCTCTTCATGGAATATTAGCAGTACTATTGCTGTATACATTAGCTAAAAATAGCTTTGTAAACCTCTGACATCCATTTTGGTTTACTGTGATCCTTACATTAATATTAATGAAATATTTATCATTTTTCTTGTATGTAATAAAGCACTGAATATATATTGAATCACAAACTCTAGTAAATATCTTTAGGACTATGAGAAGAGACTGAAGGAGAGGGATGTGATTGACAGAAAAAATTACCTAGATGCACACAGAGCAGTTGTTGCCAACTACCTGCAGAAGGTAAGCTGCAAAAAATACGGATCCACTGTATTTCCCTAGGCCATATGTTGTTTCTGTACTTGGATGCTTCATTTCCAGGCATACTAAAAACTGTTTTATGTTTAAACGTGACTTAGAGACATCTGTAAAATTCTAAGTTAGGTCTGAAACTGGTCAAATTGAACAAGTTTGTGAATAACTCATTTGATGTTGTTGAGAAAGATGCAATATACAAAATGACCAGCCATTATGGATTTTTCTAGTGTTCTGTAAATTCTTTTTTGCGTCAGCGTCCCAGAGATTTGTACTGTTGTGGCCCAGGTATTCACTGATTTCCCTTTCCTCCCTATTTTCCTTATAGCAAGATGTGATGCAAAGGACTTAATTATCTCTGTGACAGTGGCCCTAACCACTGTTAAGAAACAGTTAATGCAATAGAGAGTGTCTTGTCCTGTAGCCTAAGGCAGAGGGTGTATCTTCCATCACATTACCTTTGTGTGGTATTAGAGTACCGTCTTCTCCCCCTTTATCTTGATTTAATTTATTTTTCTAGTTTGTTCATTCTGTTAGGATGATACTCTCTTTAATCCTTAGGGAATTACAGGAAAACATTGGTTATATAACCAAGAGAAGTTTGCAATTTCAGATTATTTTGACAAAATAGCAAATACAAAACATGGCTATCAGTTTCTTACCAGTAGTGGAAATATCAGTAAGTGTATCACATCCTAGCTAGCCAGAAAAACTTGTAATATGCGGATATGTTGATTTGATGCAGGACAAAACAAATGGTCTGCTAGAAAGAATGGTTTGTTAAAGAATTATAAACAATGAAGAGTATTTCAGTTTACCAGGCAAGTGCCAAAGCCCAGATTCAGTATGATAGTATAAAAAAATTATTTTTAACAAAGCTGTCATGTGTATGTCAGCCATGTATGTTTTGCATGGTATTTAAATGTGTACTCAAACATACAAACTGAATAATAGTATAGTAGTATAGAGTAACATACATTATGGTACCTTTATTTGTCACTCTTTTAGGTTAAATACAAGTAGCCTTTTTAAAACTAATATTTGCATATTTTATATTTATAAATTGTTAGATGTGCTTGAAAATTAGATTACTGACATCAGAACTGAAATTCAGTTCACTCTGAAATGTGATCTTAATACACTTGTCACTTCAACACAAAGATGTAGTGATAACACCTTAAATAAAAACTTTAAAGTAACCAAGGGAGATGTATTGCAGAAAACTGTTTGCTGTTGCTGTTCTGCAACTGATCTTGTAATAGCGCAGTATATAATGGCATTACTAGCGTTAGTGGTAGGAAAAAAGGACAATGGCAATACTCTGTCAGTCTGCTTTCACATAGTTATAGGGAGTAGAGGGAAGACTCATCTCAGTGCTTCAGTCTATGATCTTAGCATAGAAATGAAAGGAACTAACAATTTAAACATTTATTTGAAATCATAGTGTTTGTAATATGAGCTTCATCAATTGTTCTGCAGTCCAAAGTATTGCTTTTATTCCTCATAACAAATACCATGGAGATTTCTTTACAGCATTTAGACATGGAAAAGAGATACCTGTTAGTGTTGTTTATTGTTGTGATTGATTCTGATGAGCTGTAAGCAGATAAGACTTCATTTTCTGATTATATGCTTTCATATGTTCTTATATCTGGTTATCCAGTATGTTTCTAGAGAATTACTGTATTTGTAAAATGAGCTTATAGTATGTTCTAAAGAAATACCTTGTGGAAAGAAAACTTTCCTTGGACAGTGACTCTTTTAGAAGTGGGAAAAAATAAATAAGATACATTTGGAAATTTTGTTTTTAATAGGCAGAATGCAAATATTTGCAGTGGATTTGGATTAAAAGTATACTTTTGTCTCTTCTCCCTCCCCATTCACAGGTTCGAGAATCCGTAATAAACCGTTTCCTCATAGCAAGACGCCATTTCCTTCTCTCTGACCTTGTCAATGAAGAGGAGATTCCCAGCCTGGGGTGAGGGGGCTGTCTATTTTTTTTAAAATCAAAATAATTAATGTTAAGCCATCTCTGTCTTTGATCTTTTTTTTTTTTTTTTTTTCCCAAAGTGTATTGATGTGACAAACTGATGCAATTTTGTGTTTAGTATAATATATAAACTTCCAGTCAATATGTAGACCTCTGCCAGTACAGACAGTGTATTGATATACAAAATGCATAAAAACTTTTTTAAGAAAAAGTCTGGTTTTGGCAGAAGTAATGTGACGGCATGTAAATAAGATTTAGGAGGATATAATGCATCTGGCATTCAATCTGATCAGCTGACCATAGCCCTAGCTGGTCCCAGATTGAACGATTTCTAAATATCAGACAAGCATCAGAGGTAGTAACACTACTGCTGGTTCTGTAGGTGATGCTCATCAGAGTCAGTGCAAATGCCCTGCAAATAATTTTTAATTTTTTTTAACAGTAATTTTCTTTATTTTACTTATCTATTTCTGTTTGCTGTTGCTAAATGTCATATGCTGGATGTCATTTACTTCCAGAAATGTTACTGGGTTTGAAAAGGACTTCTGTTTTCTTTTAAGATTATTATTTGTTTTATTACTTAAGCACTTTCTTTGAATTTTTGTTCCAAATCCTATGCTTGTTGATTTTGACATTTATTAGTCATCACAGCATAGATGACTCTTAATGTTGCTCCCTTAAAATGTGTGTAAGTAAACAAGTTGTGAAAGATAGTTATTTTTTCTTTTATGTAGTTGTTTCTGTTTGCTATGAACATGACACCCTTAAAGTACAGACAAAGCTTTTTCAATCATCAGTATAAATCTAAACAGTCCCATCTGCTGGAAATACAGAGACTTGCTCTCTTACAAAAGAGTTCGTCCTATTCTTTAGTCTGTGTTTTCACATCACAGAATGGAAAAAACTGAATGAGAATATAATCAGCTTTTGGAGTTGTTCAAAATCAAATGCTTCATTTCTTATAATGACTACTAATTCATATTGGATTCTATTTGCTAACTTACATGGTTAGTGAATTTAAAACACCATGATTTGTTTAAAGCATCTACTTAGTGAGATATTTCACTAACTCATGGGTTTGTATTATTTTAACAGTAATTACTGTGATTTTTTTTTTATTATGTATAAGGAAATAATGCCATTGGCTGTCAGTTTTTAAAGTAGATTTTGGAATGTCTGCAGTTATTGATGTGTGAAAACATACATCTGCTTTTTATTATTTTTCCTTTTTTTTCCTTTGGTTCTGCTTTGCCTTGGGTTATAAGTTCTGAGAGTCCAGGGTATGTTGTGGCATATGCATTCTGCTTCCCTTCTATAGCCTATTGTTTGTTGTACATAGCTGTATAATTAGATTTTTTTCACCTATTCCATAGTGGTGGTTGTCATCTGTTAGATACCTTGTTTATAGTTTAGATCTGTCTTGAAGCTGTGTAATTGTCTTGTATTTTACCTAGTTTTGGAAAAAAAAACCCACTTTTTTACACATTTAAGTTAGATTTCTGAAATATAAGACAGAACTGGACTGTGTCATATTAAACAAAACATTTTGACATTTCTTAGAGTTTTGTATGGCACTAACAGGAGCATATATTTTCTTTTTCTGTTAGTGCATAATGTGCATGTGTTTCATGGAAACACTAGCATGCTGGATTCTATGCAAAAATGACTAAATAAATGTTTTATGATTATTAGTATTTTGGGACTTGGCCTCTTTAAACTGGCAGAGCCAAAACGACCATTAAAGCCAAGAAGAAAAGAAAGGAAGAAGGTCACAGCACAGAATTTGTCAGATGGAGACATAAAACTGTTAGTGAACGTCGTTAGAGCTTATGATATTCCAGTGAGAAAACCAGTGCTGAGGTATGTTTAAATGCCTGTTTCCAGTACAGATTCATTTTTCTAGTTGCAGCTGTTTTGAGGACAGCTGAAGCAAGTAATGTTGAAATTCAGCCATTCATGCTGTTTTCATCCTCATGATAAAAACATATATACATTTATCTTTTTCTTAATAATGTTAATAACTGCTGGTTTGTAAGTTTGTAGAATAATATGATAATTTATAAATAATTGGTAAATTTGGTAAAAGTTTTACCAAAAACTGTATTCATCTGCTTGAGGAAAAAAATGGAAGATAACTTACAGCTTTGACAACTTTATAACTCTGATAATATCAGATGAATTATACCTTAAGCAAGCTGCTAATTATACTTAGGGCAATTTTGGTTCATAATGTCTTAATTAAATACCAAAAATAAGTATTAAAAAAATACAATTCTTCATTGTAAGATGCTACATTCAGGAGGCTAATATAGTATGTTGGTTGTCTTCATGAACTATTTGTTTAAATTAATGGACTGAGCCTAATTTGGCTCTGACTAATTTTAAAGGTGACCGTTGCCTTCAGGTGCATTAAGGCAATGTCTGTACTGTGTGATGCTGTGTCGTGTAGAGATACTGAGTTCTGAACACTGGTTCAGTTCCAGAAGCGATGTATTAGTGCAGCATTCTCTCACTCTCCCAAAATTATTACACCTTGCATTTAACTCAGAGGTGTTTTAAAGCTGACCAATTCCTGTGCATACAGAATTTAGCATATTCTGCTGTTTTATCTTTTTACTATAATAAAGGTTCTGTTGGATTTCTGTAAATAAGTTCATACTGAGAAAAGCAATTCATATTAGAAATATGTTGACAGGAAGGAAAAGATGAAAATTTCAATTCGTTATCAGTATTACAAAAATAAATAAAAAAACCCTCCCAGTCTTTTATATGGTATCTTATTTTGAGCTGCTTTCTCCATGAATAGTTATTCTTTTATAATCTCTACTGTAGTGTTATTACAAAAAAATTTATGTGGAAGCACTATAAAAATAAACATATTAACATTTATTTCACTCATGGTTTGCTGATTGTGTAACATTCATATGGGTTTAATTTTGTCATAGAGGCCTTGCCTGGATACCATAAAGTCTTACACTGTTTATGAATTCTGTGGGGATTTATCTCCTTAAACTGAAAAACCTGTAGCTCATGGAGATGGTACAGGAGGAAGCAAAAAAACCCCCAAAAGTCTGGAGTTGATAAGCTCTCCAGAAAAGAGAGCCTCCAAGCACAAAGCACTCTTTAGCAATGAGGCTTACAAAAGCTATACAGTCATTACCCCTGCTGGCATTCTTTTCGTGTTATTTGATTGAATAACTATCTTTCTAAGGTTCAAGTCATACCATAAAAAGACCAGAACTATTTACATAATTCTGTATGCTTAATACAGAATGTGAGGGATTCATATTTTGTAATGTGTTGTCCATCTTTTGTTGTTGTTGTTGTTGTCCATTTCCTCTTGTAGCAAACTTCAACAACCATCGAAATCTTCAAGGTCCTTTAATGAAATGTTTGCAGCTTCTCCATCAGCTCAGAGTGCAACTGATAGCCCAGATTGGGCATTCAACCAGGTATACCACAAAACTAACATTTTCTTATGTCAAGTTGTGAGCGTTCCTCTTTTCCACAGACAGAAACATTCACCATCAGAAAGATACTCGTGAAACTGGCTGCTCGAGGCTTGGATGGGCACACACTTCGCTGGGTAAAAAACTGGACACCCGGGCCCAGAGAGTTGTGGTGAACGGAGTAAAATCCAGCTGGCAGCTAGTCAAGAGTGGTGTCCCCTAGGGCTCGATGTTGGGGCCACTCCTGTTTCACATCTTTATTGATGATCTAGACGAGGGGATGGAGTGTACCCTCAGTCAGTTTGCAGATGACACCCAGTTGGGTGGGAGTGTTGATCTGCTCGAGGGCAGGGAGGCTCTGCAGAGAGACCTGGACAGGCTGGAGGCATGGGCTGAGCCCAACTGGAGGAGTTTCACTGAGGCCAAATGCCGGGGGCTGCCCTTGGGCCACAACAACCCCCAGCGGCGCTACAGGCTTGGGGAGTGGCTGGAGAGCTGCCAGTCAGAGAGGGACCTGGGGGTGTTGATTGACAGCCGGCTGAACAGGAGCCAGCAGTGTGCCCAGGTGGCCAAGAAGGCCAATGGCATCCTGGCTTGTGTCAGCAATAGCGTGGCCAGCAGGGACAGGGAAGGGATCTGACCCCTGTACTCGGCACTGGTGAGGCCGCCCCTCGATTCCTGTGTTCAGTTTTGGGCCCCTCACTCCAAAAAGGACATTGAATGACTCGAGCGTGTCCAGAGAAGGGCAACGGAGCTGGTGCAGGCTCTGGAGCACAGGTCGTACGGGGAGCGGCTGAGGGAACTGGGGGTGTTTAGTCTGGAGAAGAGGAGGCTGAGGGGAGACCTCATCGCCCTCTACAGCTCCCTGAAAGGAGCTTGCAGAGAGCTGGGGATGGGTCTCTTTAACCAAGTGACAAGTGATAGGACAAGATGTAATGGCCTCAAGTTGCACTAGGGAAGGTTTAGACTGGATATTAGGAAGCATTTCTTTACAGAACAGGTTTTTGGGTGTTGGAATGAGCTGCTCAGGGAGGTGGTGGAGTCCCCATCCCTGGAGGTGTTCAAGAGTAGAGTTGACATAGCGCTGAGGGATCTGGTGTAGTCGGAAACTGTCAGTGTTAGGTCAGTGGTTGGACTGGATGATCTTCAAGGTCTTTTCCAACCTAGATGATTCTGTGATACCTTATTTGTGAGGTTGCCTTGCCCACTCCTTGATTGCTAAAAAGATAGTAAAGGTGCAGAATGTTCGGAGAAGGGCAGTAAGGATGTCAGAAATACAGAGTGGCTACTGTACAGTGAAAAATGATAGGGCTTTTCAGCCAGAAGAGCATTAACTGCAACTAGGGGAGGAGGAATATAGGAGAGAGGCACAAAATCATGTGTAATACGGAGACTGTGGATAGCGACTGACTCTTTACTGGCTGTTTCACTACAAGGGTGAAGGATCATCAAATGAAGCTGTTAGGATTTATCTTCAACATAAACACAAGGCTGTGATTCTTCATGCAGCAGTTAGCGGGTGCCCACAGAAGTTGTTTACATGTATTGTTGACTAAAGAGGTTTGCTTGCATTGAAGTGTGTATTGTACTTGGAAGAGTGATCCATTGGGAATTACTAAATAGAAAAATCATTACAGTCTTAGGAAAGTCCTTCATCTGAAAACTCTTAAAGCCTGGGAGAGTAACAGGAGAAAATACCGTATATATCTGCTCTGTTCTGTATGTGTTGTCTGATGGCCATTTTCACAGCCTGAATTTTGGGCCCAGTGCACTCTGAGCCTGCATCAGCACAACCATTCTTATGAATTTTAATGAAAATCTTACTATTTTCCTTCAAAATTATAGCTCTTTGAAATGTAGAAAAGATTCTGCCATATGCATTTGAATGTTAAGGAAATGCTTCATTAAGTAATTTTTAATCACATTAGGAGTTTGTTGTGTCTAGTGGAAGTTGCTTATCTGTAATAGGAGCAGGTTTCAGAGACAACCAGGATTGGAGCAGTAGGCTTCTTGGATTACAGATAAGAAGATAAAAGTGCACTTTTTTATACTGGTGTCTGGATCATACATTCTGTTTCAGTTACTGTCTTTGAGTAGATAGCCAGTAGCTTTCCTAGTCTCAGGAGAAAATGTGGTTTTGCTGGTGTATATAAATGTCAAGCATGCTGAATCTTTTGGAAGTGCTAACATATAAAATTTTAAATTTTCATAAATGCTTAGAAGCCTGGGAAGTGCAATATTTAAGGTGTATTAAAAGCTTTATCTGGGCCAGACCAGCCTGATCTCCACGAAGTATATGTTTATTTTACGAAATACGTGAAAATACGTAATTTAATATGTTCTGATGAATTTTTAGAGAGGTCTGTTTCCTTTGTTTTGATCTATGTTTATAGGTTTTAGTCCGTCCCTTTGTAGAAGTTTCTTTTCAGCGAACAGTCTGCCGGACAACAACAGCAGAGGGTCCAAACCCCAACTGGAATGAGGAACTTGAGCTTCCATTTAGGTACAGCAAAATTAAACCAAATTATTTCTGAGTAATAATAATTTAATTTCAGAATGTAAATTTATTCAGATTATCATGGTTTGTTCTTTTCTGTTCAAATCACTTTTTTGGTTTAACCTTCTCAGAGCTCCTAATGGTGACTACAGCACCCACAGTTTGCAGTCAGTGAAGGATGAAGTCTTCATTAATGTTTTTGATGAAGTCCTCCATGATGCTGTAGAGGTGAGTTCATAATGTAAGAACACTGTACATTACAGAATACTGTGAGCTTTTTGAAGTAGACAGGGTAAAACTTTTCAGTGTAATAGCTTTCACCCTCCTGTGCCTCTTTTTTCTCTAGTTTGTCATTCCTTATGATTTTATATGTAGTCAATACTTCAGTATTGTTAGAGGGAGCAATCTTTTCAGCGTTAACCCTTGTACAAATTAAGCTTGTACTATATAATCTGCTGCTAGAGTTGAACATGTGTATGTAATCTGTTTTACTGATATTTAATGAAATTGGAGATACTAAAACTGAGAGACAACATATGAATTATGATCTGAATTCTGTTGTTCTTAAACTTAGAATTTTTTACTAAATTCCAGATGAATGATCCCAGTTCTGGTAATTTTTATTAACTCTCTTTTTATGCTCTGTCTCTCCTGTTTTGCAAGCAGTTTGGTGAAAAAAACCTTTTGGTTGTATATAATAATTTTTGGAATGAGATAAAAATTGCAAGTACTAGTTACAAGAAATTTTTGTAAGCTCTCAGTGTTGGCATAACTCCTTCCCCTGTTAATTCAGCATGCACAAAAATAGCAGCACTCAACATTCTTGAAAATATAACCCAAAAATAATGAACACATTTCACTGAGAACAGAATTCTGTCCTCAAAACTGAAATGGTATTTGATGAAACAGAAGGAAGAAAGATAACAGTCTTGAAACTCAGATGTCACTCTAGCCTTTAGAGATTTTTTTTTTTTTCCCCAAGTAACTTGTAGGCTGATCTTACTAGATTTGGAAACCCCTGATAGGCAATACACATGAAAACAGTGCTTCCATTCCACAGGGTTTAGTTAGATTTTAATATAGTTTTACCTTGAAAAAGCTCTTTTAAATACTAGTAAAATATTTCATTAGAAGACTAGAGCTTAATTTATATTGTCTGAGAAGACTCTTGTGGGATCCTTGTCAGACTTTTGAGTTCTTCATCACAGGTTATACAGGACTCGAACTCTGAAGTGCAAGCACGTTGTATCATGGACCATGATGTTCTTGTATTTGTTCAGCATTTGGCATGCTTGAAAGGCATGCAGAATAATCATTGCCATACTAGTAATTGAACTGATATTTATAGTGAATTATTAAAACAATACAGAATTTATATTAATGCCTTGATTAAAGTGGTGATTGAATTAAAGGAAATAAAGCTGTCTTACAAAGTGTTTAGTTGGGCAACTTTTTAATAGGATGATCTTGAAAGAGGAAGTGGAATCCGCACTCGTGTTGAGAGACACTGGCTGGGATGTGTTAAGATGCCATTTACTACCATATATTTTCAAGCAAGGGTAAGTGTCAGTAACTTGGAGGAAATCTCTTAAAATACATTTTGCGGAGTAGAAAGGGGCTGGTAATGGAATGCCAAATTTAATGATGTTATCTGTCCTTATTAGTTTATTTTTATGGAATTATTTGCAAATGTCTTTGAAACCACTGGTTTTTGTAAAATTTAGTAAGTATTTGTCAGTAAGTTCAACATTCTGAAGGGAGAAGTAAACAAACTTACTTCTACACTGACAATGCAGCCTGGCTTCCTTCAGTAATGAGATTAAAAGTGCAAATTCTTTAGGTGGCTTTGTCAGTGGCTTTTGAGATTTCTGGTATTGCACATCCTAGATAGGTGAACTTAGAAATATCACCTGTCTAGGTGATAGGAAATTTGATGTAACTGCTTTTTTTGCACTTTTCATTAATCAAGTTTTCACTTTTACCTCTCCTAATCCCTCCTTTCCTCCATTTTTAGAACTTTTCAAGAAAAGCTTTCTTCAAGAGATACCAGCAGTTAGCCATGGGATTAATAGTAAAGCGTGCCGTTCTTCATAGGAGAAAGGCATTTTTCTGTCCAGCCACCCATCTTGGACGTAGCTTAAGGAAACTTAATTTTTCACATCAATAGTCCTATCTTATTGTAATCTTGCTGTAGGACTCTTTTTTTTTTTCTGTAGGGCAGTTGCTTTCACATGTAGATAAAGTCATCATATCACAAGTTCAGTTTCTTAATTTATTAGGGTTCTGACATAAGTTGTATACCTAATGACTCATTAATCTGCTCTTCTATGACTACAAGGCACTTCTCAGAACCTTATGGACTTTAAGACATACTGTAAGCCTTTTGGATTCTTTGGGTGGAGGGTAAATCTATAGGATTGTCATGTAATTGAAGTGCAGTGCTTGGAGTTCAAAGTGGTTTTCTTGGGCCCTCCATTTGCAAGGCATAACAGAACATAATTGTCATGGGATTCCAGAAAGCATGGGATTCTTTTAATTGCTGAGAAATTTTGGACAGTGTATGTCTAACCAGTGTCAGTCCATTTGCTTCTGCTAGATCATTAATAATATGCTGTCTTCAACGTGGGACATTAATAAATAAATTTAGGTGTTTGAGGGTTGTGGTGCCCTATAGAATGAAGCTTTCACTGGCTTCAAAGAAGATGCAAGTAGTAAGAAGATCGATCCTTCTTTTCATGAGTTTTTGGCCATCCTATGCAGACAATGTCACGTAATGTGACCACAATTGTTATAGATCAACAAGAAGAAACAAGAAAGAACAAGATCCTTTACTTTTACTCCTTTCAGGGAAATGTTTCATGCCAAATGCAGGAAATTCACCTAAGAAATGTGTCTGTACACAGTCCTGAGAGACTTAATGGGCAGACTTAGACATTTTAACATACTGTTTACCTGTAGTGAAGGACAGAGCCTGTAATCTATCTTTTGAGGATTAGCAATACTGATGTCAACCTCTGTTCTTCATACTTCTTGTTTGTGTATCAGTCTTTCTGTTGTAGAACCAGAGTAGCTCTAGAATTCCTGTTAGATGCACTCCTGATTCTCTTTGAGGAGGTGTTGCAGTTTGTGATTGCCTAAGCATAGTGTGAGTGCCTGCATAGATCTTCTCAGTGTCAGAGATTCTTCTCATTTGAACAGGATTTCTTACTGAATTTGAAAAAGCCTGACAGAGGTTATATCAATGTGCATCTAGCAATTAAATTTTAGTGGCAAATGAAGCATCTCTTCATCCTCTTCTACTATACTGCAGCAGAAATTTAGTGATTTCGTTTTCCCCTCATCAAAACTTAATTTTGTTCTTAAATGTTTGATGAGCCATCCCAGCAAGTCATCTGTCCATCTTCTGCATCCACTGAGGATATCCTTCCTGATGGCAGTCATCTGAATTTTGCCCAAATCAGGATGTAAATCTTCTTGCTTTTTAATTAAAGCTATGTACTTCCACTGTTGAGATTTGCCTGAGCAAGTGTGGGTCATGCCACCTCTTGTCTGACACAACCTTTCAAAAAGATCTTATCTTCTGCTTGTGGTGGCAGAGGGAGCTGCAAACAGCTGGTGAGTCTCTCGGAGCACTCTTCCACGGGGAAGCTGGCTGAATGGGCTTAGTTCCAGCTGTACCCAAGAAGCATCAGAAGCTTCTGCATGGAAGGTATCCATCTGTGAGATGCTGGAACATCATTCCCACATCACTCAAACATAGGCAAAGGCCTGCTGGTGTGATGCTGCCTTCAGAAGCATAGTCCTGCAACCTGTATTTTGCCATTTTGTCATTTTTCCAGGTAAACAGTGCTATGTAGAGATTGCTGGTTGAAAGAAAAACAGTGAAAGGCTCGCAGTCTTTCTCTAACTGTAATAACTAATAACTCAGTAGCAAAAGAAAGTCCAGGGAGAGTCTCCATCCCCTGCTAGATGCAGGAGGAAATTTGGTAACAAGTGATGAGGAGAAGGCTGAGGTGCTTAATGCCTTCTTTGCCTCAGTCTTTAATAGCAAGGTTAATTGTATTGATGAAATCCAGCCTCCTCAGCCAGAATACAGAGAATGGGAGAACGGCCCCCCCACAATCCAGGAGACAGTCAGTGACCTGCTGCATCACATAGACATTCACAAGTCTATGGGAACAGATGGGATACACTCAAGGGTGCTGAAGGAGCTGGCTGGGGTGCTCGCCAGGCCACTTTCTATCATTTACCAGCAGTCCTGGCTGACCAGGGAGGTCCCGACTGATTGGAAATTGGCCACTGTGACACCCATCTATAAGAAGGGTCAGAAGGATGATCCGGGACATTACAGGCCTGTCAGCCTGACTTCAGTGTCCGAGAAGCTGATGGAGCAGCTCATCCTAAACACCATCATGCAACACGTGTGGGACAACCAGATGCTCAGGCCCAGTCAGCATGTTTTTATGAAAGGCAGGTCCTGCTTGACAAACCTCATCTCCTATGACAGAGTGACCTGCTTATTGGATGAGGGAAAGGCTGTGGATGTTGTTTACCTTGACTTTAGCAAGGCTTTTGACACCATTTCCCACAGCATTCTCCTGGCGAAACTGGCTGCTCGAGGTTTGGACAATCACACACTTTGCTGGGTAAAAAATTGTCTGGATGGCCGGGCCCAGAGAGTTGTGGTGAACGGAGTTAAATCCAGCTGGCGGCCGGTCACGAGTGGTGTCTCCCAGGGCTCGGTGTTGGGGCCACTCCTGTTTCACATCTTTATTGATGATCTAGACGAGGGGATGGAGTGCACCCTCAGTCAGTTTGCAGATGACCCCCAGTTGGGTGGGAGTGTTGATCTGCTCGAGGGCAGGGAGGCTCTGCAGAGAGACCTGGACAGGCTGGAGCCATGGGCTGAGGCTGTTGCCAACTGGAGGAATTTCACTGAGGGCAAATGCCGGGGGCTGCCCTTGGGCCACAACAACCCCCAGCAGCGCTACAGGCTTGGGGAGGAGTGGCTGGAGAGCTGCCAGTCAGAGAGGGACCTGGGGTGTTGATTGACAGCCGGCTGAACAGGAGCCAGCAGTGTGCCCAGGGGGCCAAGAAGGCCAATGGCATCCTGGCTTGTGTCAGCAATAGCGTGGCCAGCAGGGACAGGGAAGGGATCTTACCCCCGTACTGGGCACTGGTGAGGCCGCCCCTCGATTCCTGTGTTCAGTTTTGGGCCCCTCACTACAAAAAGGACATTGAATAACTCGAGCGTGTCCAGAGAAGGGCAACGGAGCTGGTGCAGGGTCTGGAGCACAGGTCGTACGGGGAGCGGCTGAGGGAACTGGGGGGGTTTAGTCTGGAGAAGAGGAGGCTGAGGGGAGACCTCATCGCCCTCTACAGCTCCCTGAAAGGAGGGTGCAGAGAGCTGGGGATGAGCCTCTTTAGCCTAGTAGAAAGCCACAGGGCAAGAGGGAATGGCCTCAAGTTGTGCTAGGGGAAGTTTAGACTATATGTCAGGAAGTATTTCTTTACAGAAGGGGTTGTTAGGCGTTGGAATGGGCTGCCCAGGGAGGTGGTGGAGTCCCCATCCCTGGAGGGGTTTAAGAGTAGGGTCGATTTGGAGCTTAAGGATATGCTGCAGGTGGGAACTGTGCTAGGCGAATGGTTGGACTAGATGATCTCCAGTGTCCTTTCCAACCTAGATGATTCTGTGAATTCTGTGAAACTAGTGTGTATGATTTCCATTACGTTTTTAGTGTCCGTAACATGCAAGAGAGGCTGACATCCGGTTATAATTAATACATTTAACAATGAGATCTTTCATGTTTTCCCCACCATTAACCAGTATATATATTATATTCTCTCGTTTTATTGTTTTGTAATTTAGAGTAATAAAGAAATCAAGGGAATAAAATATTTTAATACAAGTAGCAAATGTATTTGAGATGGAAATTTTGCTTTTTTCCTTTTAATGAGAAGTTTTTCCTTTGTGTATGTTTTAGATTGATGGTACGTTTAAGGTGGATATTCCTCCTGTCCTCCTTGGCTACAGCAAAGATAAGAATCTGGGAATTGAGAGAGGTTATGATTCTGTGCGAAATCTGAGTGAGGGCTCATATATAACACTGTTTATTACCATTGAACCACAGCTCATTCCTGGAGAGTCAGTCAGAGAGAAGGTAACCAAATCAGTAATTTATCATATTCTTGGTTGTTGTTTCCAGTGGTGCAGTTCTTGAGATGCATATAAATAGTTATGCTCAGTGTCAAGGATACGCTACTTGTATTCAAGTAGAGAAGGACATTAATACAAATTCTGAATGTTCTACTTCAGATTTTTTTTAGCTCAGTTCAATTTAGTTGGATGCACCATTAAGTTAGATGGACACTTAATGCATAAGAAATAACTTCCACCAGGTATCTGGTTCCAGTGTTAATAGAAAGCAAATTTACATTCATTATCTGTGAGCACATAATTTTCCCATTTACTTCTGTAAACAATAAAGTATTCATGTGAGTGTGAACAGTGGACAAGAAGGAGGTATTTTCTTGTTTCTGTGTTTATACTATTCAAATACAGGATTTATTATTAATGCGTGCCTCCAGATCTTGAAGATAATTATTTCTAAACAGCAGCTGTTATTTTTTTCAGTTATTTTACGAAACCTGAAATGCCTTAGCCTAACAACAACAATACGTAGTTAAAATGCATACACTGCTTGCTATTTTATGTAACATACAATGACTTTGAGATCCATTCAGCAAGGATGTATGTTTTTTATGCACAAACAGCAGCAGTTCATTTTTTTCCAATTCTGTTCTACACTGGTCATTTATAAGAGGTAAACAGGAACTGGAGGGAAAGCTCTATTCTGTTTCAGAGTAAATATAAAATCATATGATGCATTCTAAAACCCCTTTTTCTGTTAAATTGTAGTCTTGGAAACTATTCAGTCCTGTTTTCTTGTTTTCATACAATACTTTGTTCGCAATTCAGTACTGTTGAAAATAAAGAAAATTAATAAAGTGCATTCATGGATACCTTTTAAGGTTATTTAGTTTGACTGGTAAGATATTACTAGAACTCAAAGCCGTAAATATAAACTTAACAGCCTTGAAGCACCTTAAATAGATGAGACCTTATTCAAGAGTTTCATAGTCTTAATCTACATGTACAGTAACTAGTTGCCGGAAAAATAATGTACTGAATTTGTAAGGAAACAGATCTCTGTTTATAGAAAGACCTGTCTCCAGTACTATTTCAAAAGCAAAATAATAGAAATTCAAATAAGATGCAAGATTATTGCAAAATACTATGGACTACATGTTGCAAACCTTGACCTCTTTAAATAATGAGCAGATGTTCAGAATTTCTTACATAGATGCAATCTGGTGTGTAGTTACCGAAACACTATGTTTTCTATTAATGTTTAGTAAAATAGTGTGGTTTGGTAGCTATATTTAGAACTGATTTTAACACTTCTCACAGGGGAAAAAACAGCATATTTTATTAGTTATAGATCTTTCTGACATAAATTCACAGTCATTTCAAATATGACAGTAGGAGCAAACTGTCCCTTAACAGAACTCAGACATAAAGAACTAGGAAGAGGCCGATGTACCTTCTATTCTGAAGATGCAGCAAAGAATCACAGCACAATAAATCACAAAATAGGAAATTAAGCCTGTTCTAAGTAGCAAGAAATACTATATGGCAAAGCTTCTCCTCACAAAGAGCCGCACTTAAGACAAAGGGTAATGGATACAAGTTGCACCAGGAGAGAATTCTCTTGATATAAGAAAAATTTTTTACAGTGAGAACAGTCATTCACTGGAACAACCTCCCCAGGGACACTGCAGAGTCCCCATCACTGGAGGTTTTCAAGATGTGGTTGGACAGGGTGCTAGGTAATTTGATCTAGGCTTCCTTTCCCACAAAAGGTTGGGCCAGGTTGTCTTTTGAGCCCACTTCCAACCTGGGCTTCTATGACAGCTAAATTGTACCAAAAAGAGTGCACTGTCACTAAAGTGCATTGAAAGTAAAACCAGGAATAAGGAAAATGTTGCTGAGGCAGGAAAACTGTTGGTGCAGAAGATCTGTTTTCTAAAATTTGACGAACAGTGGAAAAAACAGTTCTGATTAATAAATCAGTGGGAATTTTGCCAGATTTTTGTTCACTCTTTGCGTAAGAAATTTTTCTAAATCTTATAAAAATTATACTCAGCAGCAGATGGATGGATACTAAGCCAAACCAAATTATGTCTTTAGCAAACACATCGTACAGGATTTTCAAATCATCCCATTTTTTTCAAAGCAATATAAATAGAAAACAAGAAAATATGATTTCATGTTAGAGGAAACTAAGTAAAGCAGGACTACATCGTTAAGAGACTATACTATTTTAAGTGGTATGTATCTAATTAAATCTGTACATAAAACCACTACTAAAGTGATATGTGCTTGTATTCTGTCACTGGAAGTTACAATTCTGTGCTGCAACTCCCCAGATGTAACTCATACACTTATTAAAGTGTTTGGCATAAAATTACAAAAACTAATTTTTTGCTGTCCTTTTTTCCCATTCCTAAAATAATTTGAAATTCTTGTGTACTGGTTTAGGATACTAAGATTAATTTTAGTTTAATTTTACGATGCCATTTTTTTTCTTTACCTATTTTTTCTCTTTCCTGCTGTCCTTCCTGAATCTCCATATAGATGAATGAAATGCTTAAAAAGGTACAATATTAATAAATTAGATCAGTTGAGAGATTCCTGTTGTTCCCTGTTCAAGATTGAGCTTGGTTTTGTGCCATTCATCAGTCTTTTTGCACTTTGTGTTATTTGACTCTGAGGTAGTAGTTGTTTATTTGTCCATAATATTTGCAGTGAATTGCTACATTTAAACTTACTAAATTGCCAGAGGCTGTATGTTTCAGCTGTTAATTATGGTTGAGAAGAATCACCACTGTGTGTCTTCTCTGCTGACTTGGAAGGTCTAGCTACAGGATGCTGTGCAGCTGTTCTATCTCTGGTTAGTCTGAAAAGGGCAACAAATGACAAAAAGAGGTTTATTTTGAACAAAAATATTGTGAACGAGGAGCTTTAATTCTCAGTGCCACTAGAAATATACCCAGCATTCTAAGTAGATGAAAAAACCACTCTTTTGACTGATCCTAATACCTTTAAAAGATTACATCATAGGTGGCATATGAACAAATAACTGTTGTTATTATATAATTAATTTTGAGTCCTAGATTTGCTTCTAGAAAATTTCATCTAAAAGCATTAAAATTTTAGACAAGTCTGAGTTTCAAGGATTCATCTGAAAATTACTTGTATCTTCTCTGCAAATATTTTGGTATTGCACAGGGTTGTCGCAGTATTATTTATACAAAAATTACTGGGATTTTGTGCAGTAACGCAGTTGTGGTTTTAATAGAGTGTTATGTGAGTAGCATGTAGGATTAGGACCTAACCATAATTGTTTACTTTTGAATTAATATGTGGTGTTACATACTCATCCCTGCAGTTTTACTTGACTGTAACTTTCACTATGTTTTAATAAAGCCAGCTTATAGGTACAGGTCTCTATGCACACTCATAAGTAAATACAAACTGCCCAATTTTCCATTACCTTGACCTTTCTTAGGACTGTGAGGCAAAGTATATACTACAAGGAAAGCTCAAAATGCTATTATTTACACTCTTTTTATGCTCCTGTAAATGGTGAAATAAGGCTGAATATAGTAAAGACTTGAGCCCAAACTATAAATAAAACTATTTTTGTATAAATTCTACTGTCTTTTGAAGTTTGATACCCAAGAAGATGAGAAGCTGCTCCAGGCTGCAGCAAAGTACGAAGCTGAGTGTACATCAAAGTTTCCAAGCCGCCAGTGCCTAACAACTGTAATTGACCTCAATGGAAAAACAGTTTTTATTACCAGATATATCAAACCTCTGAATCCACCACAGGAGCTTCTGGATGCCATCCCAAACAGTTCTCAAACAGCAGCAGTAAGTACTTAAAAAAGATAGTGAAGTTTCTGGGATATAGTTTTCGGAATGTGTGTGTTGACATGCGCACATGCACATAGGCATACAACACTCTTATATGTCTGCTGTACAGCTAGGCTTTTTGCAGAGAAAAAACTAGAGATACAAAATAAAGTTGTAATGATTGTAATACACAGTAAGTCTATCCATCATGGTGCTGGAAAAGGATATTTGTCTTTGGAGAAAATAGGTATATTAATGAGTATTGTCCTTTACAGGACAAAGAATTATGCCAAACTTCAATGAGAGTAAGTCGTATCAGTCTTTGATATAAGTTCTAAAATGAGGCAGCTGCTATTGTAATGAGGTTGGTCAGTGTTTTGTCATTCATGTGGAAACAGCACTATGCTTCACATCTGGTATAATAATACAATTGTTAGATCTCCACATAGTGAATTGAAGGGGTGACCTGCTCTGTTTTGTTTTCTTGCAGGAATTGGTGGCTCGATATGTTTCTTTGATTCCTTTTTTGCCAGATAGTGTGTCATTTGCTGGAATTTGTGATTTATGGAGTACATCAGATGTAAGCAATGCATTGAACAGGAGTTCTTTATCCTCTTGAATGTGGTGTAATATTGTAGCATCCCCCGCTTTTGAGGGGAGAGTGTACCAGATGAGTTCTTGAGGTTCTTTCAGATCTATATTATTCTGATTCTATTGTTGTAAGAAGTATTTTTATTTATGAGCCATTTATTTTTAAGAATGAGGACCAAAGCTTGAGAAAAGTTGCTCACCCTGATAGGAGCCAAAATTTTTATCTTTGATAGGTTGCAATTGATTGAACCTAAGAATGCTTAGGGCTTTAAGCTTTTGCTGGCTTTGTTCAGTTATAAAACAACTCAAAATGGCTAGTTATGCACAAGTGAAAGGATGCTGACTGATGTAGACTTTACAACTAGACCGAAAATTGATCATTGTAGTTCCAAGGAACTACAGAAAAGACATTGAACTTAATGTCAGTAATAAGGGGATATTTATCCTTCTCTGTCACATACAAATAAATACTGTCATCTGTAGAGTAACAGCAGACCCTAAGTTACTCACTGATGATTTTTTACCACCTCAGAAATTTTCTGCAAAATTCAGAATAACTCAAAAAACAAAGACCCTGGTTCTTGTGCTAATGACTCAGATCTGCATCGTGGATTTTCCCAGCATTCACTCTTCATCCTGCATGTTGAAGCAATGCCCAATAAGCAATAAAGATCAGTTGCAAAGATCCGAGGGAACTATTTTGCTTCAGAAGTGTTAAGAAATATTATTAAATAATGGAAATTGAAAACACAATTGATAACTGCAAAGAAAGGTTTGGGTTTTTTTTTTTTAGCAATTTCTTTATCTTCTGGCGGGAGATGAGGAGGAACATGCTGTGCTCTTGTGTAATTATTTTCTTGGTATGGGGAAAAAAGCCTGGCTTATCATTGGAAATGCTATTCCTGAGGTAAGAGGATTTTTTCATTTGGTTGGAATATTAACTTTTGTTCTGTGAAGTATTTAGGTCCCACCACTGGATAGAATTGTTTCTTGCTGTTTTTTTCCAGGAAGTTATCTACACTTTGGTGCTGTTGAACTAATTATTTTTAGAGATGAAAAAAAAAAGTTGGAAGTATATAAATATTGTAATAGGTATATAAATAAGTAATATAAATATTGTCTGGGGTTTTTTTCCCTGCATACATGTTTCCTCACTTAATCTGGTAGTAGCTGTTGTCCTCATAGTACACTACCAAGGATCCATAAACCTTGATTAGACTTGTATAAAGCTTGTATAAATGGTGTGTCCAGGACCAAGGTAATGCAAACAGTCCATTCACCGCATCTGCCATGAACACACAGACTGGGACAGAGTTTGGGTGCGATTGGGTAAAGGTTGAGAGGTGACAGGAGAGGGTTAGGGGCTTGCCAAGGATTTTTACTGGTATATATACATGTCCTTTGATTCTCTCTCCAGCTGATGCCAAAGCTGCAGTAAGAGTAATGATAAGATTTGTTCAGACTTGGCAAGTCAATCTTCCATCTACCTTCTGTAATGCAGGCAGGTTAGGCCCTCTGCTTTGCCTTGGTCTGCTGTGCATCCTGTCAGTGCTGTGAGCTCACTCTGGCTTAGAGTGGCTAAGAATGAAAACTTTTAGATTCCTTTGTCCCTTATGAGTTGCATTTGCTTGCAGAGAACCACTCAGATGTCCCAAATAACCAGGCTGAGAGAGTTGGGGTGGTTCAGCCTGAAGAAGAGAAAGCTCCAGGAAGACCTTATAGCAGCCTTCTGGTACTTAAAGGGGGCTACAGGAAAGATGGGGAGGGATTCTTGTTCAGGGAGTGTAGTGATAGGATGAGGGATAACAGTTTTAAACTGAAAGAGGGTAGATACAGATTAGATATAAGGAAAAAATTCTCCACTGTGAGGGTGGTGAGACACTGGCACAGGTTGCCCAGGGAAGCTGTGGCTGCCCCCTCCCTGGCAGTGTCCAAGGCCAGGTTGGACGGGGCTTTGAGCAACCTGGGCTAGTGGAAGGTGTTCCTGCCCATGGCAGGGGGTTGGAATAGATGATCTTTAAGGTCCCTTCCAACCCAAACCATTCTGTGATTCTGTGGTGAGGCTGTTTATAATGCAGATTTCCACCATTAGTATCTCAAATTACCAAACACATATGACAGTTTTGCTGAGCAGAATTTTAGTAAAAATTCCTGTCAAGACTAGTTTCTTAACATTCTCAGATACTGCAGCAGCAGGACCAGGTACTCCTTCCAGTCCAAATCTGATGGAGATGGTAGTCCTTAATAAAGCACTTATCTTATGCATGCTGTAAGGAGGGGTATTATTCCAGGTATTTCAAGGTACTTGGATAACACAGGAGATAATAACAAGAAAACAGAAGAGCAGTTTAGGGATTCCTGATAAAGAATACAGAAAGAGAGCTGAGAAATTCCTTATGTGCCTGTCTGAGGGAAGGCTGATGGATGGGACACAAAGCATGCTGCCTAGGCAGCAGTCATTCAACTCAGAGACTGCCTGTGGATAATACTTGGGGCACTACCTGTATATAGAATTTCGTATCAGTTAGTTTGTAGCTGAATCAAGACAACTTTTGGAATCTGTATTTTAAGAATGGCTTAGGGCTGTGTATGTCTAACATTCCTCTGCAACGTAAGAGACAGAGAACACATTATTCTGTGTTAGTTGGTTTAATTGTAATGAATCTGTAAATTCTTCCAGATTGCCCCCAAAAGTACTATTAATCTCAAAAGTAAAAATTTAATATTTCAAACAATATAAAGCATACTATCTTTGTATCCAGTTTTAAAATATATTTCTCATGTTTTTCTTCCTCCTAGGGATCAACTGCGTATGTATTAACTTTGGAACAAAGTCAGTATGTAATTTGGAATCCCAGTACTGGATGTTTTTATGGGCAGTATGATACTTTCTGCCCCTTACAAAATGTTTACTGTCTGATCAGCTGTGATAATGTAAGTGTACCCAGTCTTGTCACATTTCTATACCTGTGAGAGTTGAGAACTTGTTTCCTTGACCTTAAGCATCCTCTGTTCATCAGTATAACTATATTTGTGCTGTCATAAGTGATTTTACTCAGTCTTAAAGAGGTTTTTCATCTACTTTAAATACTTAAAATAAGAAAGATTTTTTTAAATCAGCATTTAGGTGGATCATTACATCCATTCATATAATTTTCATTAACGGGTTTTACTTACATATTTCCCAACTTGGATGGCCTAAGTTTACCACTGCTTATCTGAGGAGTAGTAATTCAGCAAAGCTAATAGTTTGCAGGTGAAATGTAACTAACAAATTAAAAATAAATCATATTGAGTCACTTGAGCTGCATATGTAATAGTGAGCATGGCCCTGAATGGTTCAGTGTGCAAAACACAGAGGTAGCACTACAAGGCATAAAAACTGTATTGATTTTCTGCCTGGTATCAAGTGGTCCTGTTTATTTGCTGTAAAATACAAGTAATATTAGTGCCTGTTCACAATATATTATTCACTGTGTGGCTAGAAACCCTCTGAGCGGTTAGCAGCGGGGGGAGAGGAAAGACATTGTAAGAGCTGTGCAGCTCTTAAGAGGCGAGTTTAAAAAAAAAAGTCCCCTAGGTTTTATTTGAACGAATACTGAAAGCTGAGTTTAATTTGCTCCTCAGTTTTTTTTGGAAACACTAAGGAAACTGTGAGGCTTCCATTTTGTACCAAACTACAGCAATTATTCGGTTTTATTTTCTGCATTGAAAACTGGAGACGTCATTAGAAATGTCATGCATTACAAGTTTTTGGTTTTTTTAAATCTTCTGGGGTTTTATTCTAAACACAAATAATGACTTGGGATGAGAATTTAATATTCTAAACCATATTTATTTTAAAGTGTCAGTTCTGTCTTGAAAATGTTCTGGGAAATGGTTGAGCTGGTTTGGGGTGGGGTTTTTTTAAGTAGTACAAACCCTACAGTTAATGTAGCTTATTTGCTTCACCGGCAATTACAAATTAAGGACTTCAGCACTGACAATCTAATCAGCTAACCTTGAACTACAGAGCTCAACAACATCTTTCAAGGTAACCAATTCCAATGTACATGTGCCTGAGCAGGTGTGCTGCCAGCAGAGCAATACCACTTCATCTCCAACCAGGGAAAACACAGCTGTGTTGTGTCATATAGGCTGTACACAGAACTGTTAGTTACAGAAGGTTGCATATTAATTACTACATTTATGTATTAATTGTTGGTACATTTTGCAGGCTTAGTAGTAGTTATTTAAAAGTTGTTTGAACAAGACTACAATACTTGCATGCTTCAGACTAGGTTCAAACACTGACCAAACTGAATGTCTCAGAAGTGGAGTGCAAGACATGGGTTTCCCTTGACAAAATACACATAGGAGCTGCATGTGTCTCCAATATCTACTTATATTCTGCATCATAAGCTTGAAATAGCAATGGTGCTGGGGTGCAGCAGGCTAGCAGGCATCCCAGACACAGCTGCACTGTGCTGGGCCCTTAGAAGAATTTCATCAGAAGAGCTGTGTAGCAATCCTGAGGAGTGGAAATGCAGCTCAGTACAGCAGAAAAAACTCTGGAGTATACTGTACCCCAACCCCATGTGATGCTGAAGTGATGGTACAGGCAGAAAGTTTCTGAAAGCATAGAAACTTCTATAGTGCACAATAGATGAAGTGTTGAAAAAAGGAAATCCTGGAGAGAAAGATTCAGCAGGAAGAGTTGCCAACTGCAGACAGTAATTCTGCTCATACTTAGAAGCATGAGACATGACAGACCAGCACCATCCCTTTTGATGCAAGAATGCAGAACTTGCTCATCAGCTGTGACTGTACAAGATTGCCTTGTTTCATATGAACTAAGACTGGTAATTGCTGTAGAAGGTCAAGATTATATAGTATTTTATTGCCGTGTTCCATAGCTACTATTAGATGCTCAAAATTAAAACAAACTTGTTTTTCTTGCAGATTTGGTTTAATATGCAAGAATATGATTCTCCAGTAAGGATAAATTTTGATATCAGCAAACCAAAACTTTGGAAGTCTTTCTTTTCAAGAAGTTTGCCCTACCCTGGTCTCTGCAGTGTTCAGGTATTAATGGATCTAGCACCAACTCTGTCTGAGGGTTTGGGAGATCACAGACTTAGTATAAATAAGCAGACTAAGTTCTTTGGAATTCTGTGGTTAAGTGTATTTATGCAATAGCATTGGGTTTTAAAAGGATTTTCCCAGGCGCTCCTTAAAAAAAATGAAAGCAGGAATGCTGTGAAGTATTTGGTTTTACACAGAATGAATGCACAGCTGTTGTCCTCTAACTGTCCATGTAAGATCTCAGGACAACAGTGAAGAAAATGGGACAAATCTTTTAACAAAAACATATCTAAAGTAGTAGCTTGGTATTATAAAGAAAATGTCAACTTTTGTCTTATAGCTAGGAAGGCATTATTTCAAGCTGTACACACATCCTTACTAAACAAACAGGAATTTCTCTACAGTTTGTCAAAGGTAGAAGCAGTTGAATTTTACTGGAAAAAGCGCAAACATTAAAGTTTTTATCATGTTTCTACTAAACAATAGATTACTTAGCATAATTGTGAATTCATGTGAATACCATCAAGGTAGTTAACTCCTGAAATAACACTGTTTTATGAAGAAGAGATCACACATATTAATATTTGTTTTATTTGTTGCTAGCCTGAAGAACTAGTTTACCAGCATTCAGACAAGGCTGCTGCAGTGGAACTACAGGGCAGGTAATTCTACCTCCAGAAAAAATGCTGTCAGTGCTGATCACTGGAGCGCATTTACACATAGGTCCTGAAAACCTGCTTTGAATGCTAAGAGTTGAGTGGCCTAAAAAACCCAAAAAACAGAAGCTATAGTTCACAGGTGTTTTTTCTCTTGATAATAGAGATTGCCACATAGAAAGAACTGATTAATCATTGTTGTGCAGTTTCCTAATAAGCAAAATGCTGTAGAGATGAGAGGACATGGTGTATACTAGAAAGGGTTGTAAGCCCCTGGCCTCCCATTCTGTTACTGAAGATGCAGGCGGTGTATAGCTATGCTGGCATTGCTTTTCTGTGCTTTTAACTGGCAGTAAATTTAACAGAGGTCATTTGTGCTCCCCACAATCTGTACTAAGTGTGTCAATGGACATCAGTTTAGATGCCTACTAAATACCAGAATTGTAGTAATGATGTCTGTTTATTGCAGGATTGAAAAAATATTAAAAGATAAGATTATGGAATGGAGACCAAGGCACCTAACTCGTTGGAACAGATACTGTACCTCTACTCTACGTAACTTTTTGCCGCTTCTGGAACAAAACCAAGGCAAAGATGTAGAAGATGACCATCAGGCAGAGCTGCAAAAACAGCTAGGAGATTACAGGGTACAGTTGTGGACATGTATTGCTTACACATAAAAGTAGAAAGCTAAATCCCTAGGATTTACTATCACTACTCTGAGGTACAGGAGCGCCTCTTAGGCTCTTTTATTTCCTCTACCACTCAAACTCCCAAGAGCTTTAATAATTAAAATAAACCAATGTAATGTTTAGAGAATCACAGAATCATTTAGGGTGGAAAGGACCCTGGAGATCATCTAGTCCAACCATTCGCCTAGCACAGTTCCCCCCTACAGCATATCCTTAAGCTCCAAATTGACCCTACTCTTAAACACCTCCAGGGATGGGGACTCCACCACCTCCCTGGGCAGCCCATTCCAATGCCTAACAACCCGTTCTGTAAAGAAATACTTCCTGACATATAGTCTAAACTTCCCCTAGCACAACTTGAGGCCATTCCCTCTTGCCCTGTGGCTTTCTACTAGGCTAAAGAGGCTCATCCCCAGCTTTCTGCACCCTCCTTTCAGGGAGCTGTAGAGGGTGATGAGGTCTCCCCTCAGCCTCCTCTTCTCCAGACTAAACCCCCCCAGTTCCCTCAGCCGCTCCCCGTACGACCTGTGCTCCAGACCCTGCACCAGCTTCGTTGCCCTTCTCTGGACACGCTCGAGTCATTCAATGTCCTTTTTGTAGTGAGGGGCCCAAAACTGAACACAGGAATCGAGGTGCAGCCTCACCAGTGCCGAGTACAGGGGTCAGATCCCTTCCCTGTCCCTGCTGGCCACGCTATTGCTGACACAAGCCAGGATGCCATTGGCCTTCTTGGCCACCTGGGCACACTGCTGGCTCCTGTTCAGCCAGCTGTCAATCAACACCCCAGGTCCCTCTCTGACTGGCAGCTCTCCAGCCACTCCTCCCCAAGCCTGTAGCGCTGCTGGGGGTTGTTGTGGCCCAAGGGCAGCCCCCAGCATTTGCCCTCAGTGAAACTCCTCAGTTGGGCTCAGCCCATGGCTCCAGCCTGTCCAGGTCTCTCTGCAGAGCCTCCCTGCCCTCGAGCAGATCAACACTCACACCCAGCTTGGTGTCATCTGCAAACTGACTGAGGGTGCACTCGATCCCCTCGTCTAGATCATCAATAAAGATGTGAAACAGGAGTGGCCCCAACACCGAGCCCTGGGGGACACCACTCGTGACCGGCCGCCAACTGGATTTAACTCCGTTCACCACAACTCTCTGGGCCCGGCCATCCAGACAGTTTTTTACCCAGCGGAAGTGTGTGATTGTCCAAACCTCAAGCAGCCAGTTTTGCCAGGAGAATGCTGTGGGAAATGGTGTCAAAAGCCTTGCTAAAGTCAAGCTAGACAACATCCACAGCCTTTCCCTCATCCTGTCATAGGAGATCAGGTTTGTCAGGCAGGACCTGCCTTTCATAAACCCATGCTGACTGGGCCTGAGCATCTGGTTGTCCCACATGTGTTGCATGATGGTGTTTAGGATGAGCTGCTCCATCAGCTTCCCGGGCACTGAAGTCAGGCTGACAGGCCTGTAATTTCCCAGATCATCCTTCCAACTGTTCTTATAGATGGGTGTCACACTGGCCAGTGTCCAATCAATCGGGATGTCCGTGGTCAGCCAGGACTGCTGGTAAATGATAGGAAGTGGTCTTTCTTTTTAGAGAGTGAATGAGCAATGATGTATTTTATTTCACTTGTAGATATTGAACATTAACTTTCCCTTGAAAGTAAAGATAAATTAGCTGCACTGTTCTTGCATTATGCTGTACCAGAACAGTCACTACTTCCAATGTGTAAATACAAGTGCCCTCACTCCACTGGCACTGGACGCTTATGGGCTGATTGGTGCATTAGTTCTCAAGTCGGCTCAGGAAAAACCTGGCACTAGAGCTAAGTAGCACTGCACACAGATTACTTACAGGTGCAGAAGTCCACACAACATGTTTTACTTCAGTTTTCTACTCTTTGGTCCACTCTTTAAAGACAGGGTAACATTTACTTCAGTATCCAGTGCAGCCTCTGGTGTACCCATGTATTCTTCCTCCAGGCTGTTCTGAAGGTTAGGTCCTTCTGGTTTTCATGTAAAAGACATATGGTAACAGTACTGCACACAACTATGACACTTTTCAAAATGAGTTGAGGTTTCAGTTCCTCTTGGACCTGAGATGTTGTTTGGGCAGGAGATATTTGCCACTGCAAATTCCCAGAAGACAATGAATTAAAACCAGTTGATAGGCAGAAAAGCAGTGAAGTTATGCCATATGTGTTCATTAATATAACTTTATTCTAGTGGGTTTCTAAACATCTTCAAACTTAAGCCAGACTAAAGAGAAAAAACGTCAAAAGCTTGCCTGGAATATATGAAATAGGGAGGTGGCAGGATATTTTATTGCATCTCCTCAGGCTACCACTAGAAAAGATAAATTTACATGCACAGTAAAACAGATTTTTAAAATTATGTATTTATTCAGGTGTGGTTACCTTTTCATCTTACCTTATGTGTTTTTTCTTCTTTCTTTCTCCCAGGTCTCTGGATTTCCTATTCATATGCCTTTTTCTGAAGTGAGACCTTTAATAGAAGCTGTACACAGCACAGGAGTTCATACCATTGATGTTTTCAATGTTGAATTTGCTCTAGCTGTGTATATTCATGCTTATCCCCAAAATGTTCTCTCTGTATGGATTTATGTTGCTTCACTTGTTCGAAATAGGTAGTACAGACCAGTCAGACTACCTCAGGAAATTTTCTTACATAGGGGCAAACATAACCGATTTATCACACTATTGATTTGAGCTATCCCAAGTATTTTAAAAATTGAAAGAGAACCTGATTTTTAGTAGCTGCAAGCACATGAGATTTATTCACCCTACAACTACTTAAGATACTAAATAGTACTAAGCTTAAAATTCCAGTACCAATAGGTGATTTTTATGCAGTATTTTATCACTCCCAGGGGGACATCAACTCTTAAAAGCATTACATATGCCCATGTATGGTGGCATGGTCAAGTTTAGCCACCTTGTTTTCAGATGAAACTTGGTTCCTGGAATGATGCCTTGAAGACTGTGGTTTTAGGTCATCAGTTTTATTTGATCTACACACTTTCTTCCTCTTGAAAGACACTGGCAAATACAAATAGAGTTTTCCAGTACCCAAGTTCCTGAATGAAGATGAGGACTGTTTAGCCATGAATAAATTTCATGCACCAAAGAACCATCAATGAAGGCCATTCTTCAGCTTCTAAGAGGCTGCTTCATACTTAGTGTCTGTGTAATGCCAGCACCCTTTAGAAGTGTAGGATCACATTTTCTTTAGAAGTTGAGACAAGTATTTAATAAATATTTATACCAAAACCTAAGTGGAAGTTCATTCATTTATACAAGAATTCTATTACATTGGAGTCTGAAATCCTTATCTGCAATTTACCCTAGTAAAGATTATCAAAAGAATAGTTTACTAAAAATCAGATTCACTTATTAGTATGTTAATTGTGGTGTTGACTGTTAATACTGATAGATTTTCCTGCAGTAATCTTGCTAATCAAACTCTTCCCAGTGAAAATGATGGTGGGTTGAGTTTAGGAAGAATGTTTATCAGATTTAAGATTGTTCTTGAGCTTAACTCCAAACTAAATTCAGTCTGTCTAATAAATACTAGACATCAAAGTCTTTGGTTTAGAGCCTGGGGTTGCTGCCACAGGTTCCCCTCTATAAAACTCCCACAGAAAGGAGTGTGTATGTCATCACATGATGCTTTGCTGAACAACACTGATGCCATCTCCTGAATTTAGTCCAGGTCCCCTTCAGAGAAAGGTGAAAAAGAAACACATGTAAGTAAGTGGATAGAATTTTGTGCAGCTGTGATTTAGTCTTCAACTGTGTCTACGAGTCTGCACAGAAAACAGCACCTAGCTGCCCCATCCCAGCCTCAGAAACAAGAGTTCTGGAACAAGGACAGATGCAAGAAAGCCCACCATGTACCCTGTTACTACTCTTACCTTGTTTCAGTCAGCATTGCACAAATGGCCATGGATCTACTCTAACCTTTGTTGCCCAAAGTAACTTTAGTGAAGCTTACTTGAAGCAACAGTTGCTAGAATAATGGAATATCCTTTTATACCTCTTCTGTAGGCTTCTGAGCACTGCACATTCTGCCTCCAGCCCACATTCAGCTGTTAACTATGAATAGCTAACTCTGTACCAATGCTACATGCACTAGTCTTTTTCTCACCTTACTACCCCAGTATTAGTGGGAGTAAGATGGTATCAAAACTTGCTGTTTATTGTAATCTCCAGCTATGCCTGGCAAGCTGACTTCCCAGACATCAAGAATCTAGAAAGCTGTATCTGTCACAGTAACTGCTGTCCTAAATAAATACTACACGTATTGTCAACCTTCAGAATTAGGCAGAATGAGGGGAAAAAACCTGTCTGCTTTCTACAAAGGCTGCCACTTACCCCTAGCTCTGCCTGAGAGAAAAACACCCTGCAACTATGCCACTCATAAGAAGCAGCCATTAAATTTGGCAACTTAACATGGGCTACAGTACTCACTTCCTCTTGCAATGGGCTCTTTCCCATACTGCCTGACCCACACACTTGGGCACTACTCATCTCTCTTCCTAGCACAGGTTTCACTCAGCCCAACAATGGATTCTCTCCCTCTCTGTTAGTCTACTGTTCAGTGAACAGTCCTTTTAAAAATCAAAGCAATGCAGAAAATGTGGTATTGTCCTCCATGGATTTCATATTAATGAAAACTGACTTCTTTGGAAGCTGTTTCAAAAATGCATCTTAAAACAATCCTGAGAAGAAAAAAACCATGACAAACCCCATATACACACTGCAAGGTTCATGGCTCTGCAACCATCACAACACCCACCCACTGTAGCCTACTGGGACAGTATACCTGGATATTACACCTTAAAAGCATATAAATTCAACTGCTACATCGACTTTTTATTGGTGGGAATGTTTTATTTGAGTATGTCTTTCAAGCCCAAATACAAAACCAAATGCAAAAGGAAGGTGGGAATTTCTCTAATTTTGCAATATAAAGAACGACTTGAGGATGAGAGGAAAGGGGAAGAAACAAGGCTCCTAAAGATGTATAACTGTTACCCAAATGCAAACAATACATTTCAAATTCTCTGCAGAACTTTATACTGTACTTATGGATTCAAAATAAAAAAAAAACCAAAACCATTCACTTAACACAAAATAATCCAGTAAAGTATATTTAAGTGCCAAACTTGGGAGAAAGTGGCAAAAAAAAAAAATCCAAGTGTTTTCCCATCTTCCCCAAATTAAGTAAAACAAAACCCAACACCCTTCAAACCAAATGAGATTGTGAGATTGTTACAACACTGTACAGTACACTCATAATTAAGATTTTGAAGTCGTGGGCAGGGTCAGGCTAGTATAACAAATCTCACTCCAAGGATTGTTAACACAAGATGCAAACTGTAAGTAAAGTGCATGAAAGGAAGCCTGCTCAGCTAAATGAAGTAGACTGAAAGATCAGAAGTCAGCGGTCATTCGCCAGAGCGGCAGCAGGCCCGAAAACCACACTGCAAATTCTGGCATCCACTGGCGGTTTCAGCATGAGGACCTGCACAAAAACAGAACAAATGTGAAAAGAAGAAAAGGCCATTTTTTTCAGATTCAAAATTCTCATAGCCTGGTAATTCAGAAAATGTCTCTTTCTGATACACTAAACTTCATTAAGCACTGTGAAGTCTGAAACATTGCCAGTACTATCCCAATATAAAAACTTCAATTGGATCAGTTATTTTTCAAGAGATTTTTGCTCTGATAGCTTAGTCCCATGAAGATAACACATTTAATATGACACAGATGTATGATGAGCAACACTAAATGAACAAGTTCAAGCAAGCTCTCACAGCTAGCTTTCAGAATTGAGGTGTATTTTTACAATGCATATTCCCATTTTTCAAATTCAGATGACAACTTAAGCCATTACCAAAGAAACCATAATCTCCAAAGCTATTTCTACTATAATAGACAGCTTTTTGGCCTGGAACATTGGGGGTCTTTTTCCCCTCCATGAACACTTTATGGTTGCCTAGACCTCACATACTCTGAATATTAAAAAAAAAAAAAAAAAAAATCACCTTTAGTATCACTGCAGTTATCAGAAGCCAGAAGGGTAAAAATTAGCCATTCAAAAAGTTGCGAATACGGACAGCACAAACCAACACTGTAATTCTACCCACCTCCACTTACCTTCGCTTACTGTTACCCCTTTAATTTGAAATGTTAAAAGTGATCATGAGATAAGAAACTATTAAATTTATTAATACAGGATTTTATTTCCTGCAGCCATATGCCTGCTTCAGACACACAAACATTTACATTCAGGTTGGCTGAACTCTTGGCACCCAACATAAATTGGAAGTGGGTGATGAGTTAACTAAAACAAGCTGGTAAAGACCTAACCAGGACAACCCAAATTTCTCCCCGTTGTATTTGAGACAAATCAAATAATATTTAAGGTGGTTTTAATACATTTAGAAAAGACTAGCAAAATCATGTAATGAACTGGGGCACCATGCTATGTCTGGCTTGTTTTTTCCCCTTGAACAGTAATTTAAAGTCATAATTCAATTACTTTCCAAGAACCTGGTGTCTGGAAGTCAGCTTTCTGCTTCATGCCACACACCAATGGGCAATATTCTACAAGGTAATTAAGTTAACATGCATGAGACTGAATAAAACAAACCTGAAGCTATAATGAAGGGCAATGGTTACAGTATGCAAAATACCAAACTTTTCATTTTTCAGTAAACTCATTTTCCTTTTCAAATCTTTCTTTTCACCTGAACTATATTTGAATCCTCAAATCACTTACGAGCTAGAGTTTGAAAGCTTCTTCATAAGTCCTTTAAAAAGAAGGCTCGGTGCTTCTGAATAGCTGGTTTAGCAGAACATGTTCTGTGCAGCAGCATTTTCCAAGTCGTAGCTGACTTTCCTCATCATTCCCACAGCTAAGCAGCACATCAGTAATTTTGAAGCAACTTCCACATTTCTAGTAAAATGCTTGTCAACAAAATATACAGAACCACATCCCAAGAGAATACTCACTATACTTCAATTTTGTTTTCCGTCCTCTTCTTGCTCATTTTTTAAGAGTGTTCTTCCTCATGCTCTTAACTGGAACATAAAAACTGCCCTTCTAGGTCTGACCGTTGGTCCCATCTAACCCTGCCTTCATCACTGGCAACAGCAAGTGTTATCTAGGGAGACTATACAAGCCTACTGTGCATACCTTTTATGTCTTCCCAGCATCCCTAACTGCTGTATTAGCAACATTAAAGCCCATTTAGTATTTGTTTATGGCTCAGTTCTGCATGCATTTGTTTAACCTCTTTTTAAACCTGCTGATACTAACCACTTAACACAGTTTCCCACAGGACCAAGTTCCAAAAGTTCACTACACTGTGCATCTGCTTTAAATCAATCACCTACCCACTTCATCTACTGTCACTGAAGTCTAATGCTGCAGAATTTGGAGAGTTACTGTTGTACAGTCACCTCATCTACCACTTTCCCAGTTCTGTAAACAGTCATCTCATTCCCAGACTCCAGACTTTTGAGTGTCTCTTTGCAAGACAGCTGCTCAGTTCCCTAACTCTTTTTAGCAGATCTCTTCAGTATCTTCTGTAACTCCATTACATACACTCCTCAAGATGGGGAGACCAAAACCGCATGCAGTACTCAACATGTGAGTGCCCCAAGGCTTCCAGGACCATGCAGCAACACCCTCTATCTTGTTCTCAACACCCTGATGATGCATAACATTGGTGGCTTTTTTGGCTGCTGCTGCAAACAGGAAAGATCTCAGAATTAGCACCAACAGCTCTCTGAAATCATTCATCTCCACACTGCAACTGCCAGCTCTGATTTCAGTTTCATGCACAGTTTGATTATTCCCAACCACCCAGACACAAAACCATACATACAGCTGTATTGAAGCTCATAAGAAGTTCTTCTGGAAGTCTTCAGCACCAGTATTGTTACTTGAGGCAGGCCAGTACCACTCAAAACTTGGAAATTACCATGTGCAATTCTTATACCCCAAAATCAATGAAAATGCTGAGTAAGACTTATCACAGCACAGAGCTCTTGCAGGGAGGTGGAACAAGGGGAGAGACGTCACCTCCCAGATTCCAGTCCATCCTGAACAGTGACCATTAAGCCCTGCCCTTTCTTCCTATCCTTTAATTAGCTTTCACTTTTTAAATTGAAACCAGTCTTACAGCAACTTAAAAATCTCAAAGATTTAGAAACTTCTAAGCAAAACTGTATCATCTGAGAAGTTTCTAGGTTCATTTCCTAATTTATTAGGCACTGAATTACAAATTACATTAACCATATCACATTGAAAATTCACCCTTCTTCCTGTGCTACATTTCTTGTCCCGTGTCCAATCCTCATACCATCACCAGCTTTCCTTTTATAGCCTCTGATAAAGAACTGATGAAATATTCAGGGTTCAAACCACATCTCCCAGAAGCTGCCACCCTGTATTCTTTCTTAGCATACACAGGCAATTCCCATAATTTGGAGGGTATTTTATGCTCTTATTACAAGGTAGTGTCACTACTGGTTGTTTTAATAGTGAGACTATTTCATTATGACTGACTTAATTTATGTTTTGACATGTCAACTGATCTCTTCCATCACAGGTCATTTATCTCCTCTATAAATGCCCTAGCCCTCCTTAGCTTGCGCTTTTTACATTTGATACACATAGCTAAATTCAAATGCCTTTGCTTGTGATAGCCACAGAGACTGGTTTTGTTTCCCTTGCTTTATATACTACAGCTGACCTTTGGCTTCCTAATCTCTGATTTTCCCAGTCTTTGCTACTTGCCTCATTTGGACTGG